AGTGGAGTCCTCCTCCGTGAGATCCCACCGCATAGCGTGAGCCACGATCGGTGTGGGTTCGAGGTCCTCCTCCTCGAGAACCCACCACACGCACATGGTTCTCCCTTCGTTCCCTAGTGGAACGAGCAACTCCTCCGTCACCACCTCCACCTCGAGTGACGTCATGCCAAGGTTGAGCGCCGCCTCGGTCTCTTCCTCCGCCTGCGCTGCGTGCGCCGCCTCATCGCATTTCTTCTTGCGACATTCGCGAGCCCAGTGGCCCACTTTGCCGCAGTATGCGCACTCATTGCTGGCGATCTTCTTCTTCCCATCGCCGCCGGTGGATGGCTTGGAGCCACCATCGCTTCCTCTGCATTTGGGCCAGTCATTGCCGCGGCCGCGCCTTTGTTTGGACGATGGTGGTCATCCGCCTCCGGATGCGCCCTCGCCTGAGAGATGTAGACGGGACACCACCCGCGCCACTAGCTCCTCCTCCGCATGGTTGAGGCGCGCCGTGGAAAAGCCCGCACCTCCTTTGAGGTCGTGCCCATCATCCGCGGCCTTGAGTCTCCCAGTGACCTCCTCGATCGAGAGCTCATTGATGTCAAGGAGCGTCTTGATGGAGATCACCAGCTGCCTGTACCTCGGTCAGGCGACATGCAGGTACTTGGCAACCACCTTCAGCTCTGGCTCCGGATCACCAAGAATCGCCAACCGCTGCACAAGATTAGACAGGCGCAGGGTGAAATCCTCGACGGACTCACCATCACAGAATGAAATCTGCTCGTACTCCGCACGGAGACTTTGCACCGTCGACTTGCGTACCCAATCATTGCCGATGCGCATTGTCCGGATCGCCTCCCATGCCTCCTTGGACGATGCCTTCGTCGCCAAAGTGGGCACCATCTCCTGGGGCACGCCGGAGCAGATTGCTTCAAGCGCAGAGCGATCGTCGTGGAAGTCAACATCCTCGTCCTCGATCGCATCCCAGAGGTAGAGCGATTGCATCTTTAGCTTCATGAGCAGCGACCACGTGTCATAGTTTGTCTTCGTGAGCTACGGCCAGTTGCCGGAGCCATTCGTCTCCCGGACGAGGCGCTCGACGACACCCTCCCGGCGTCGCGTTCGCGAACGGCGTGCGCCGCGAGTCCGTGAACGGCGCGTCGGTGAACGGCTTGGGGAAAACGAACGCCTTGGAGACTTGTTGCCCGAGCCGCCGCCTTTCTTCTTCGTGCCTGCCAGCAGCGGCGAGCGGCCTCGGCCCTTCGATGACCCCATCGCGACACGCTAGGTCCCTTCTCTTACAGCTCTGGTACCACTTGTAGTCTCTCACACGGCGTCGCCCTCCGCCGGAGAGGAAGACAGTGCACTGTAATTTAGAGAACACACACAAGAGCAATGGAAGACACTCGCAATTTGGTGCCACAAACTAGCGTAGCTTTTCTGACTCTGTATTGCAACTTAAGTAGACAAAATTACAAAGCTACAATGTAGCCACGAACGGCCACGATGCTGCGACCTCCACGCTCCGCCATTGCCGCGCCATCCCACGACTGGAGTATGCAGATCGCCACTACTTCTACCACGCGCATGCCACGACCTCCGACTGGTCCGTGCCATCCCACAGACGAGAACGCAATGCGCGCTGATGACCACTAGAGCTAGAAACAAAGAGAGCCTATGCATGAACGCAGCATGCAACAGGCTGTACACAACACATTCGGCTTGGCTAAGACCGAGTTCAGTTATTGTCTAACAGCCGGAGAGAAACTAGGAGCTGAAGTGAGCCTGGATTATCTAACAAGGATGGCTGTTCGTAGCTCCATGTCGCGACGGCTCAAGGCCGAGGCGGCGGCGCCGGGGCAGTGACGCGGTTGCTAGGTCGGTGGAGTCGCCGTGGCCGCGTGGCTTGACGACGCGACCACCGTTCCGTGGCTTGACGAGGGCAGGGGCGTCGGCGGCGATGGCGACGACAAGGTCGCGCGTGGTGTGGGGCGGCTTCGACCAGCGAGCGTCGTGGCCGTGCTCTGGCGTGTCGCGGCGAGGGAGCATGGATGCAGGAGAAGGCGGAGTGGCGGCGGGTCTAGGGAGTTGGTGAATGGAGAGCGACTGGTTGGGCTCTGTGGTCACCATGCTATGCTTTGGACGTGGCTAGGAGGAGATGGGCGTTGGAGAAGAACAAGGCAGTGGAGTGAGGGAAAGATGAATGGCTGTGGACAGGAGGGGATGGCGAGAGAGCGCCATGGGTCACGGCTTAATAGTCCAGCGTCTAGGGTTTTCGCGAGGAGAAGGCGGGTCGCGGTGCTGGTCTACGCGGTCAAGGGCGATCGTCCGCAAATCGTGGCGCATGGCACGGCCTTGGGCGAGCTTGCGCTGGCGTCACGCGAGGGCATCCGATAGGAACGGCTTGGCTTCATCCGGCTCCGGTTGCAAACGACGGCAAGGGGAAAAGCGACGGAAAGGAAAAAGCGGGCGTGGCTGAGGGGAGGAGGCGGCGAAGCAACGGAAGGAAAATGGCATCCTCGGTTGCTTTTCCCTAGCCACTGTCGAGCGGGTCCCGCAGACGGAGGCCGTACAAGAGCATGCGTGACTACGTGAGGGGCGTGGGCTGTTCCTTGGCGCGCATGAAGGGGCGACGGCGTCCTTCTCCATGTGCGGCGCACGTGAGGCGGAGAGGGTTTCTGCGGCTGGTCCGCTAGGCCGAGGCGCGGGTTGGGAAAGGAGCAGAGGGCGTGCTGAACCAAAGGAGATAGCGCCGGAGGGGCTGGGTTGGGCCCGCGCATGGAGGGAAAAGGAGGGTGAAGTGGGCTGACTGGTGGCTTTAGGCCCAAGGGAGAGAGGGAGGCTTTTCCATTTCTAGCTAAGGGGGTTTTAAAGCTAACTAACAATCAATCAACAACTCCAAAGAAGATCCAACTCAAGGCACTCAACATGCAACTAAATTATATGCAGTACACAAGACTACGAAGTTCTAGTCTTGGAGTTAGACCGAGAAGGGAAGGAATTTGGCTTGGGTTTGACCTAGCGTCTACATGCAACACGCATTGCATGAAAATTTTTAAAAAATTCGTATTTTTGGGTTGCACAAAAACCCGGGATGTTACATGATCCCTAAGGAAAATAATGTAACTGAGTCATTGTTGGTCAATCTTCTAAACATGATTTAATCTCATATATTTTATAAGTGAGACTTACTATGGTAGAAATATAGCAGACCCTAACAACTATATATAGTTCCATCCCACCATGTACATGCATAGTTTTATACTATCAAAACCAGCAAATCATGGGTCCATTATACGTGAAGGCACATCAAAATTGCAATGGCTCAAGGCCTAGCAATTGCTTTGGTCCCAAATCCAGGCAAAACCCTACCTTTTGTCGTCCTTTACCCTACTGCCCCTCGCGCCGCACCTTCCCCTTAGCGACCGCTGCTCCTACCTCCTATAAAAGGAGTGCCAGGAGGCTACGAGTAGGCACTTCCAACCACATATAGAATGCAAGATCCATTCCACTCACATCATGTGTTCTTTCTTTTCCCCCTTTCCCCAATGCTAACCCACAGGATTAAAAACAAATCTGGTATGTTTGTCCCCCCCTTTCTTCTTCAACACACAAGATGAAGTGGATCTCACGTCTACTTTGTGGAGAGGTCAGGTCGATGAGTTGAGCTCTACAATGCTAAGTAATTGAAGCGAGGCATTGAGCCATACGCCCAATTCCAACGTTTCAGGCCATCTGCATACAGGAATTGGCCTTTCATGTGGAAACCACCATAAATTCTACCCTTTACGATACAATCTGTCACTAGATCTTCGCTTTCTATGTGAGCCCCTGCTAGATTTGTTCTTTCCTATGAGAGCAATTGCTTGAAATAGGAACAATATCTGATCATCCAAAGGGCTGTGCTATTGGATCCGGTGTGTGCGATGGTTATCTTGATTGCAAGATGGGTGGACCAAGGACCTTTGCGGTAGCAATTTAACCGCAATATTGACATGGTAAACCATGTCGTTGAGTTTTAGTAATAATTAGTTTCAAAAATCACTCCATAACTTTTGTTAATCAAATTAATGTTCATTTATATTGGTTTACCCATCTGGAAGATTTTTTGTGAGGTGAAAACATATGTTACACGATTACAATTTTGCTTATATTTGTTTGAAAAGTTTGTTATTTTCTTCAAAAAAGTTTTGGTTATTGTATTTTCTTTATGAAAACATTGATGCCAACTGTCACGTTGCTCGTTGATGTGGGAAACTATAGAATGACAATAACTAAACAGGCTAAGATCTTATCTGGAAGTTACTTCCTCTGTCCATAAAATGATACGTAAAATCATGGTTCAGAAAAAAGTGGTGAGTGGACTTCCTAAAATTAATAAACTTAGCAATACCATGATTTTTAGGACTGCAAAGATGTAGCTATGACCAAACATTTTTGAAAACCAAAAAAACACAAATACGCCCCAGACAGGGCCTAAAAAGACTTTGGATACGTGCCCAGGTATTTTTAGTTGTTGTAACAGCCACACGCATCGCAGCCGCGCAACCACCCCCGAGGCCGCACGCGCTCCGAGTACCCGCCTCTCGATGGAGCCACCAGCCACGCCGCCCACGCGACGCGGACCACCTGGGGCACCTGGCCACCTTCCCTTTCACCCATGTCTCTGGCCTCTCGCCACACCAGCACACAGACACAACAGACAGCACTGAGCCACTGGCCACTCCCCCATTTCCTACTCATCACTCTATCATATCAATGCGGTTCTGTCCGCGACTCCCTCACACCACGGCCGGGCCGCCGCCGCCGCCGCCGTCGGAAGCAGCTAGGCTTTCCGTTCCCCGTTGATTCCCTTTTCCATTCCGGCCAGCCCTCTCCCCCTAACCCACGCTGGGGCTGCGACTCGCTCCGCTCCCACTTTCCAATCGAATCCGACCCTCCCCCTTCCATCCCGACCCGCACCCACTAATCCTCACGCCACTCTCGCCGCATCGCCACCCCCATTCCTCCTCGCACCAATGGATGCCAAAACCCTAACCCCTGAGGCGTGCGAGGACGCGGACGCAGCCGCCGCTGCGCCCCAAACCCTAGCCGCCGGGGAGCTCGTCTGGGCCAAGCCCTCCAAGCCCCGCCGGCACTGCTGGTGGCCCGCGCGCATGCTCGCCGCGTGCCCCGCCTCCGCCGGCGCCGTCCGCGACGCCCAAGTCTCCTACTTCGTCGACCCCGCCGTCTTCGGCGCGCCGTCGGCCCCTCCCGCGCGGGTCCGGCGCTTCGCCGACGCCGACGCCGACCTGATGGCCCGCGGCAGCATCTCGCGCGGATTCTTCGGGGCCGTCGAGGAGGCTCAGGCGCACGCCGTCGCGGCCCTGCGCGCCCAGCTCACCTGCGCCTGCGTCCCGCCCCCGCCGCCCGGAGCGGATTGCAGCGTCACCGGAGTCGCCAACCTGGCGCCCGCGGAGTTCCTGGCGGCGCTCCGTGAGGCCGCATTGGACGTCTCCTCTGTCGGCCTGGTGGACCGCGCCAGGCTCAAGAGCTGGGTCGGCGCGGTCGGGGAGGGGTGGGGTCCGCATGGCGCCCAGCACTACCCGCGGCGCTGTCCGGACGACCTTGTGGACAAGATCGATCTTGATGTGCCCGCTGGCGAAGACAGAGATGCTGATGATTGGCTTGCCGAGGACCAGCACAAGGCATTGGAGAGGCCGGAGGAGACACCCAAGCAGAAGAAGCGCAGTGTCAGCAAAATGATGGACAAGTGGGATTCAGCGGAGGATGAGAGCAAGATTGACAGTGCTGAGCATGTAACCTCAGGAAAGCGAGAGCGGAAGAAGAGTAAGTACCTGTCGCCACCATACACCAACTTGGGTATGGTTGACAGGAGTGCCCGTAAACCGGTTGATCTGCCAAAGGCATTGGTTCCCAAAGCTGCTGAAGATGGCAGAAATGTGTCGCCATTGCCAGGCAGCATTGTTGTGGAAGATGTCCTGCTGCTGGTGCGAGGCTTAGGAGAGGTTCCCAACCATATGGACGATTTTCCAAATGATGCTGAGGAATTTCTACGTTTGTTTAGAAGCACGACATTCATTCACGGTGCTGACTATAAGTCTTGTAAGGCACATGAAAGTCCACTCATGCATGGCTCTAGAAATGTTGGCATGGACATTGCTGTGGGTCTAGTCTCTGGTTCACATGCTGTTCTGAAACAAGGCAGTTGTGTGTCAAAGAGGGGCAGGAAAAAGGATGAAGCTGGGAGTGGTGGCTCTTCCATCAAGAGGAAGAAGCGGGTGAAGACCTCTCCTGCTGCTACAATTGGCGCTGGTATACCAATCACTCCTGCTATTCCTATCAGGCAAGTGAAAGCAGAAGATATAAGAACCCTAATGAAGGCGGGAAGTGGTCCAAGGGGTATAGGAGTAGGCGTTAAGAATGAGCAGGGCAAACCATCACCTTTGAAAGTTCCTATTTCAGCCGCGGATCCTGGGGTAGCGGAATCAGGACATGAACGGGCCCAAGCAAATGTTCTGGCTGTGGGCAATACGTCGCCTGAACAATCCGCAAAAGAAAATGATGCAGCTAACTTGGAAGCAACAAGTTCAGAAATGAATATGCAAAATGTTACTGTAGATGTGCCTATCAGAAGTGTTCAGACAGAAGCAATGGAATTGCAAGCTAATAATCCCATAGAAGTGAGTGCACAAACCGTTGTTGTAGATGTCCCTGTCGGACGTGTTTCTAAGGAAGCAACAGAGCCAGAAACATGTGTACACAAGGACAAGAATGTGCAAAGCGATGTTTCAGATGTGCCTGACAGAATTGTTTCTAAGGAACCAACAGAGTTGGAAACTGATAATAATCACATAAACGAGAATGTGCAGAGTGTCGCTGCAGATGTGTCTGACAGAAGTGTTTCAAAGGAAGCAACAATGCCCGATGCTGATATTCGCATACATGAAAATCTGCAAAATGCTGGAGATTTGTTTGTCAGCAGTGGGCTGTCTCCTATGCATGAAGACATGTCTCAGACTGTGGATGGAAATAAAGAGCCTGGGGGTGTAGAAGTTTGCACAGTCCAGCAATCTTATGCTTCTCTGCAAGCTATGGTGCCAGAAATGCTTCATAAAGTTAACACTAATGGTGCAGATACAATAGGTGTGAATGATACACTCAAAGATGAGTTTCAAAAGGATGGACAATCTGTCAAGAAAGTGGAGCTACCTGAAGAAGTGGCAAATCATTCCTGTGCTGAAGGTATCAACGGGACTTGGCTGGACCCTGCTAACCTTACTCCTAAGAAAAAGAAGAAGAAAGCTGCACAGCACTTCAGCAATCCAGCAGCCGTTATCGTGGAATTTGAACGTGGTGCCACTGTTCCTTCCAGACAGGAGCTACTCTCCACATTTGGCAAGTACGGCTACTTGATCGAGTCTCAGACTGATATTTCAGAAACTACCCGCAGTGCTTGTGTTGTGTTTGGGAAAAGCATTGAAGCTGAGGAGGCGTACAAGAATGGTTGTCAGTACCTTCTTGGTCAGTTTGGGCCTCCGTTTGCTAAACTAAGGCTTGATTTCTCTCCAATCAAGTTGACTCTGCCTTCACCGTCTCTTGCTTCAAAGCCTCCACTCCGAGATATTAGGAAGAACCTTGAGGATATGATTTCAGCCCGTCGTTCGGCTTTGAACAAGGCAACCTCATCAGATGGGCAGCTGAATCCAGATAAGCTTCTGGGGGAGATGCAGGGCCTTTTGGCAAAAGTTGACAGGATGCTTACTAGGCCTCCTGCTAATGCTCCTTAGCTCTGCCAACCTGAAGGACCTATTGGTAGTTAGACAACTTTGGTGGCAGTTCTGTTAGTTGTAGCTTCCGCATCTAAGTTTATGATGAACTAATATCGTTCGAACATTTCAGCAGCTGTGATGTGGAACTCCTGTGAATGGTGGCGCTTATTGTGTCACTGCTTCGTGTACTATATATGCCAATAAGGTCGCAGCTTCTTTTAGTGTCCTGATTTTGTGTTATGTTAATAGTATGTCATTGCCATTTATCAGAGCTGTTGGAGTTTGCATCGGAATCGTAAAGTGCACTTGTGCTATAGTGCTTGAACCATTGCAGTCGTTGGTCTTGGTGAATTGTTCGAATGTGACGCTAGTATCCATTGAAGTACTAGCAGCTGATATGAACGCAAAATCACCCTTTTCGTCAATGCTTGCGTTGATTAATACTCCACGTAGTATTTTCATCGTCTCGCAGAGTAATTTATAGAGCTCTTTGGCATGGCTTCACTCCAACAACTTCATCAAAAAATTTAGCTAAACACCTCAATTTTAAAACTCCATGGAGCTGCCAACTCCATATAGCTACAGTGCAAATGGAGGTGGAGTTTTGGAGCACCTCTTTTGCTACTCCAGAACCCTCTCTTTTGAACCTCCTCGTGGAGTTGGTGGGTAATTACCCACCAATGCTACTGGTTACAGGAAAAAAAACGTTTCGCTTCTATTCTCCGAGTCTCCCCCGTGCATCCCATTTTCCTAGTCCCACACCTCTCTGTGTCCTAACTCTTCTCGTGAGACAGACCGCCGCAGCTAGGGTTTCCGCCGCCGCTAGGCAGACCGGCGGCCGTCGTCCACCCCCGCTGCCGGCCGACCGAGCCCCGCCGCCGGCCGCCCTAGGCTCGCCGCTGGTCTCCTAGCCCCGCCCGGCCGCCTAGCTCCGCCTCCCGCCACGTCTGCACGAGGCCCGCCGCCTGCCGTAGAAGCCCCGACGTCGGCCGCAGCCTCCCGTCGCCGGAGATCCCCCGCTGGCCGCAACTCCCCACCAATGGCCGCAGAGGCCCGCTGCTGGTCTCCAAGCCCCGCCCGACCGCCTAGCTCCGCCTCCTGCCACGTTTGCACGAGGCCCGCCGCCTACCGCAGAAGCCCCGACGCCGGCCGCAGCCTCCCGCCGTCGGAGATCCCCCGTCGGCCGCAGCTCCCCACCGACGCCCGCAGAGGCCTGCCAACAGTCGTCCGAAGATCCCCCGCCGCCGTTCACAAGGTATGGTGCCTGCTTTGTTTTTTGTAACGACGGCCGTTACATGCTCTGCAGTTACTTTTGGCTGTCGTTCAATGCTGCTGGAATTGGGTTGCATGCTCTGTTATAGATCGATGCATTATTGTAGCAACTGAAGTGTGCACTAGCTTCTGTAACATTAGAGTCTTGTTTGCTGAAATTAGCCTGTTAGATAGATTAGAGTCTTTGTAACAGAAATTAGGTAACTTGCCTTCTAATATGAAATTTGTGAGTTCGATAGATGCATGAAATTGATTGGAACTCGGAGAACACTCGAGTGTTGTGTATGTTGATTGCCGAACAAGTTGGAAAAGAAAATCGGCCAAACACACACTTGAATGCACTTGGTTATACTGAGGTTGAGAAAGGGTTCAAAGAAAAGACTAGAATTGTGGCTACCAAGGTTCAGATCAAGAACAAATGGGACAAGTTGGAGGAAGATTTTAAGGCATGGAAGAAACTAATGCTGAGGCAAACAGGGACTTGTTGGGATTCTATAAAGAAGACTATTGCTATGGATGATGAATGGTGGAAAAAAACTAGAGCTGTAAGTTGGTTCAAAATTTTTGCTATATTTGTTTTCCATATGACAAATCTGTTGGTAATACTTATAATAATATGTGTTGTTCTGCTTATTTCAGAACATTCCAGGTTGTGGAAAGTTAAAAAAGGACATTGAGAATGAAGATGACTTAGCCAAGTGTTTTGCTGACACCACTACTATTGGTATTGATCATTGGTCTCCTCATGTTGTGAATGTTGAAGCAACCGAAAATATTGATGAGACACAAGATGAGGCAACCAATTTTGAGCCACAAGATGATGATTTCATTCCTGGAACACAAGAGGAGGATATTGGTATTTCTTCTCCACCTGCAAGTGGCAAGAGATTGGCTAGGCCTGTTGAAATAAATGGCAAGAAGGTAAAGTCTGGAAATGCACTCTTAATTCAAGAAGCAGTAACAAGTATGGCAAGTTCAGCCAAAGAATATGCTTTGAAGAGACATGAAAAATACTCTATTGATGAAGTGATAGAGGTTGTGATTGCTTGTGGGGTCGGCTATGATAGCAATGAACATTACATTGCGTCTGAACTGTTTGTGAAGAAGGAGCAAAGGGAGATGTTCATGACCTTGCCTACTAATGAGATTAGGTTCAATTGACTTAGGAGAAAGTACAATGATAAATATGAAAAGTAGAAATGGTAGTGAGAGTGATGTCATTTATGTATGCTACATTTTATTTTTGTCGCATGTATGCTACATTTTATTTTCTTGCAGTTCATTTATGTATGGCATTTGTATCTTACATTTCATTTATATCAATGTTCACATATGTCTTCAAGTGAGTCTGATGATTCTAGTGATGGGGAATTTTTTTTAAATGGTTGAGAGCAGTGCAAAACTAGCACAAAGTTATCATGACTTGTATATGGACAAGGCACCGCCGAGGTTCATGTTTTCACAACAAAGTGGAATGGGATGGCTGATGGAGACGGTAAACACTCCAGGGGAGTGTCATTGAATGCTTCGGATGAATGAGGTTATTTTTCATGATCTTCATGATGTGTTGGTTGAGAGGTACGGATTAAAACCATCGAAACACATGAATGCATATGAAATGTTGGCCATTTTCCTATTCACATGTGGTGGGTGTGAGTCAAATAGAAGAGGACAAAATAAGTTCAAACACTCAGGTGAAACTATTAGTAGAAAATTTCATGAAGTTCTAGATTGTGTGGTTGCCATGGCACAAGATTTTTTGAGACCAACATATCCTAATTTTCGTAATGTGCACAAGAGGATTAGGAATGACAAGAGAGCATATCCACATTTTAATGATTGCATTGGTGCACTTGATGAAACCCATATTCGTGTGTCTTTATCACCTGAATAACAAGTGAGATATATTGGTAAGATTAGAATTGCAACTCAAAATGTGCTTGTCGTTTGTGATTTTGATATGCGCTTCACGTATGTGGCTGCGGGTCAACCATGTTCTTTGCATGAAACTAGTGTATTGTACCATGCATTGGAAGCAGATGTAGATGTCTTCCCACATCCTCCTCAAGGTAAATATTTTTGCTTACGTTCTTTTTCATATTTGTATGCACAAACTTATCTTGTTTTACATATGTGTAGGCAAGTACTATGTTGTAGATGCGGGCTATCCTAATTGTCCAGGGTACCTAGCTCCATACAAGGGTGAAAGATACCACTTACCCGAGTGGCATCGAGGTATGGAACCAAATACTCCAAAAGAAAAGTTCAACCGTATACACTCATCTGTTCGTAATGTTATTGAGCGCTCATTTGGAGTATTAAAAATGAAATGGCAAATCCTTTACAAGATGCCCGGTTATTCAATGGTCACATAAAAGAAGATTGTTGCTGCTACCATGGTCCTACACAATTTCATACGTGAACATGCTAGTGTTGATGTGGATTTTGCTAATTTTGACAGAGATCCTACCTACATGCCTACTATTCCGGAAAGGTACAACAAGTATGCCGTGTCTCAACATGCCTCCGATGGATCAACTTCGAAATCAAGCTTTGTGACTATGGACACCTTTCGTGATAATATGGCTACATCCATCGCCCTAGCATGGAATTAGTGTAATGATTACTGTAACGACCTTATTTTGGAACTATGAACTTATTTCGTAATTTCGGTTCTAGGCAAATGACATGTAATTTATTATTATTTTGGACTCCACTGCATATACTTTTATTTCATATTTGTGAGAAGTAGTTCAAGTCGAACCAGGGGCAAGAATGGCAATCTACCCTCAAACTCATCTTCTCTGGAGCTGGGGACACCCTCCCAGCCAAACACCCTCATCAGACAGCTCCAACTCCACCCAGAGCTGGCTCCACCTGGAGTTCTGGAGTGGAGCAGCTCCACCTAGAGTTGGAGTCATGCCAAACAGGGCCATACTGTGCGGGCTACTCTGGGAGCCCAAATCCCCCGAGGGATCCCCGCGAATTCCCTGGGCCAATTCCCTCGGGCCAAATTTTTGCGCTGGTGCCCACCAACCCGAGGAACGCAGCCCAGGCCAAATTTTTGTGCTGGTTGGAAGCCCACCAACCCGAGGAACGCAGCCCGCTTCCCTTCGTTTTCCACGCGGTAGGAATCCGAGCGATGAGGCCGGGAGGGTTTCCCGTTGCATCCCGCTTGGCAATCGCGCGACCGCTCGAGCAGCTCTTACTCTACTCGCGCAGCTGCAAGTCGCGAGGCCGCCGCCCCGGCATCTGGCCGCCGCCGCCCCTGCGCCTTTTCGTCGCTTCGGCTCACGCCAACGGTGAGCCCGCCTCAACCTACATCTCTGTGCCTCCCGCTAGGGTTTCGGGTTTCTTGATCCTCTCTTCTCACAGACTGTTTCTCGTAGATCCTGGGGCCGCCGCCGCCACCTCGACGCCCGGCTGCCTGAGCTTGATCCATCCAGTGCCGCCGCCCGCCCACAGTCCCAACCGCGCCGGCTCGATCTCCACCACTGCTCCGTGACTGCCCCCGCCTGGCCGCATTGCCTCGTCCCAATATCCGGTGAGCCCTTCCTCTCTCCTCCCCACATCGAGCTCCTGCGATTTGGATGTGTAACTTTTACTCATTGGATGTGCTTGTATATACTGAGAATATCATGTTTTGTCTGATGGTTAAAGAACCGCCTTTATGCTATGCTGAATTTATTTAACCTGCAGTGCCTTTACGCATGAGGTTAATTTAGCGTCTGTCAGAGAGCAATTTCTCCTGCTTTATAATTAGCTCAATAGACTTTGCTGATCGTTCCAAGTTAGTTCAGCTGCTCTCAACTTTGATGGTCACATGTTTGAGTCAGTCAGTTAGCTTGGAATTTTCAGTGTGCCTCGCAATCGCAAGGCCTAGTACACAAGATGCTGCTTATTAGAGTTTCTGAAAATTAAAGAACCGCAGAGCATTTGGATTCACTAGTTAGCATTCTCCACATAGAACATTTGCATCCATCATAATATCATATCATGGGAAACACCACAAATAGCTTAGTTGAGACCTTATTTATCATATATTTATTTTCTCCTCTACTTTTCTTTTTAAGGATTTTACGGTACCCTATACTACTGGTATGAGGATTCTAGTATGCAAGTATGCGCCTGTACTGTCCATAGCTGCATGGCTGTTGGCTGTTGCACACAGCCATTCAAAACTGCGATTAATTCTGAAGGTTTTTTTCAGTTAGGGAATAGGGATTGGCGATGACTACCAATGCTAGCAATTCTGTATTTCTTCGTCTATTAGCTGTAAAACTGTGACTAGTTAGTTGTTCAACAACCCCAAAAATATTTGGAAAAAGTCTACTCCACCCCCTAACTATGGGGGTGGTCTACATAATCTCCTCAACTATGAAACGGTCTAATTTACTCCCTGAACTTTCCAAAACCGTCTATTTTACCCCTATGCGGTTTTCAGCGGCGGTTTGCTACAGTAACAGCGGGTTTGCTCAGGGGTTGTCTTTTTCCTTAGATTTTCTAATTAATATAAATCTACAGTAAAAGTTTTGTGCTAAAGTGTACCATATTATATGTTCACTATGTAGATCTACTCATGTGGAGTCCAACAAAATTAGATTTTTCATTTTATGATTTTTCTGTGATTTACTATGATTTTTCAAAGATTCAGCGGAAATAAGAAAAGACAAAACCCGTTACTGTAGCAAAACACCTGTAGCAAAACCGCCGTTGAAAACCGCCTGAGGGGTAAAATAGACGGTTTTGAAAAATTCAGGGGGTAAATCAGACCGTTTCATAGTTGAGGGGGTTATGTAGACCACCCCCATAGTTGGGGGTGGAGTAAACTTTTCCCAAAATATTTTGTTTTCAAGTACCTAAGTACTACTTGTACTCAAGTACTTGAAAACAAAATATTTTGAGTACTACTTGTGATGGGCGGGCCTGGTGCAAGCGGTAGAGTCTTACCGCCTGTGATCGGAAGGTCCCGGGTTCGAGTCGTGGTCTCCTCGCATTACACAGGCGAGGGTAAAGCTTGCCACTGATACCCTTCCCCAGACTCCATACACAGCGGGAGCTCTCTGCACTGGTATTTCCAAGTACTTGAGTACTACTTGTCTATTGACACGACAAGAACGGCTATATGCAACACATTTGTTTTCTATTGACACAACAAGAATGTCTATATGCAGTCCCGTTCTGTCGGCGTACCACGGCTGACGGCCGACGCCCTGCAGATCCAGCAAAGGCAACGTTGAGCAGCCCCTACGACCTCGACTGGCCTGCGACCTGTGGATCTGTGCCAGCCCGTTGATTGAGCTACCTGCTCCAGCCCGAGTAGCCTGTGTTGAAGCTATGGTTGGCTGAAACTTATGAAAAAGCTAGCTAAGGAAACAGGGCCAAAGTGAGCTCCAGAAAACAAAAAGAAAGGAGCGCCATGGAGAAAGGTGACGTGCGGGTGGACCTCGACAAGCTCCCCATCAAGCGCCTTGAGGCCATTGACGAGATTGGCAACGAGCACTACCCACCGTAAGTTTGCTGACAACCCGTAATCTGTTCCTCTCAAATCCACCAGGAACTCACGTGCTTTTCCTTTCCTTTGCTTGCTGGGTGGTGTCTGCGGTTGTAGGGACACTAGCAACGAGGAGCAGCGACTCGCGGCTATCCGCCGGATTGACTTCTCCTGGGTCATAGAGAAGGATGCAAAGAAGGCCAAGAAGGCGGCTGAGGCTGACACTACCCAGCAGGCATGGCCCTGGCAGGGCCTTATGGAGAGCCTGCAGCAGGCACATCAGAAGCTCTCCGTCGTCATAGACCTCATCGGCACGGTTGGTAAGGCCTTTTTAGATTGCCTCAAAATTTCAAGTTTTTTCACTCTCTCTCCATCACATCAATTTTTAGACGCATGCATGGAACATTAAATGTAGGTAAAAAAAAACTAATTACACAATTTGGTTGTAAATCACGAGACGAATCTTTTGAGCCTAGTTAGTCCATGATCGAACAAAGTTTATCAAATACAAACGAAACATGCTACAATGTCCAGCTTGCAAAAAATTGCAATCTAAACAAAGCCTAAATGTAGACGTGCACCCAATTTCACTCCCTGTGAATGCAATGCTGGCGATCACTTATGACTATGTTGAAAATTATGCCTCAGGTGGAGGCTAATGACGCTGTGGCAGTCGCCTCGACAACGAAGCCCAAGTCGCAGCCAAATGAAATACTTATTGACATGGCAGTCTCTGCTGCCACCAAGCTCCAGCGCCTTAGGGTATGTTCCGTACTGTGGCTACCATGTGTAATTAGATAGCATTTTCAAATCAATGGAATGAATGCATGGAGCTCTTTAGACTAGTGCAACAAAGAAAACAGAGCTGAAAGGAACTGTAAATGCTTCTGTAATTGATATTTCAAGCTCTGCTGTTTATTATTGTGCCTACTGCCGTAATATTCATTTGTGCCTTTTGGGATCTCTCAGCATTTGTCACGGTACTTCAAACAATCTAATAGGACAATGGAGCAACAGTTCCAAAAGGAGACTAGGTTCTACAGCTCCTTAATAAGGTAGTTACCGCTGTTGAAGTTTTGTATGTAAAAGCTGTTAAAAAATTGAAGCTGTTGATACAAAGCGCTGATGCATTTGCAGATTGCAGCAGAACTGGAAAGTGAAGCGGCAGCGGGCTGTTGGGAGTCCAGGAAGTGAAGGCTTCATGTTTGATCTAGTTGATAGTTCTCAGCTAGACACAACAACAATGCCTCGATTATCACCATTATCTTTAATTCCGATTGATCAAGACTCTTCAGGCACTTTCTGTACAAATACCACAGAAGTCTTTCCGTTCCTTGAGCCTTCAATTTCGTGGAGACATAGCTAATAATGCAGAAAGCAGTGCTATCAAAAAGAAAGAAGGCACATTAACCAACACAACTACTGAAGCCGAAAAGGATGTTTTGGAGAATGATGATGTCAATAAATCTATCAAACATGCACATTCCATCCTTCGTGACATCCACAAGTCCATATTTGAGGAGCAGGTGGGTTAAATGCCTATGATTTTCACAAAGTCCTCTGACTAACTAGAGCACCATGTATAGAAAAGAACCATTGTAGTCTTCACCTTGCTGTTTTCCTTACTTTTACGTGCACCATCGCACTTGATTTATTGCATATTTCTTGTAGGTATTTGATATGGTGAATTGGTGATCCGGGAGACATTTATCCAATCTCAAGGCATCAATGTTACTGGGATGTGCGAAGATTTTCTCCAATTAGCGATTGGCCAGGAGTGTTCTTTGTGCCTTTCACTTGAGCTCTCTGGACAGAATAGTAACTCAGGAACAGTAAGGCAGGAAGATCATATGGATACAGATTATACTGGAAATCTTGCAGTAGCCACTGTAAATGGGAAGGAGTCTTCAAATAAGGATGTGAGAGGGTTTCCTAACCCCAAATGCTTAGACATTTACCTGCTACATATGTTCCATGAAAACATTCTTAGGAAACTCAGGGAGAAATCTCGTCATATGGTTCGTTACCAGGGTTCTGCTCAGGCTGCACCTGACGATTGTGGCCTGCTAAGTCATTTTTGCATGACAGTGTCTCACAAGATATTTTCTAACAAAGTACAGCCCCGTTGCCCTTAAACCCGGCTTGATCCGCTTCTTTTTTTCATCCGAAACATTGTTTTTCTCTCACAATATTTCATCCGGAACAGTGTTTTTCATCTAAATTCATCCATAATTCCTCCAGCCGAACGGGGCCTACATTTGGAGCTGGAAAGTGTGGTAGGACTACTCTACACTTGTCAATTAATATAATTTTATAGTAGACTGGCATTGTGACTTCCTTTCACTAATGCAGGTTAGTAGGGTTCCTTATCTCCATCTGCGTTCCCTTCCTACATGGCATTCTCGGACGTCTTCCTGGCCTCTCTGCTTGAAAGTTCCTCAGCCTATCCTGTCCACTGATCGAGCCAGAAAGCCTTCAGACCATCACGAGCTGAAGTACAAATCCAGGTCACAGTTTAGTACAAAGGTGATCTTGAAAGATGGCCAAATTAGTTTAATGGGTGAGGGCTCTCCAAGCATTGCTGGATCGTTGACTGGGAAGCCATCTGATGGACGTCTTTTTATTGTTTTTCCTTACTTCTATTTAGTCTCTCTTCTCCTTCTTTTATTTTAAGTTTTCTATGTTTTCATTCTTATTTTGTTTTTTCTTTTTCTCTTGTTTTTTTCTCTTTTCCTTATTCTTCACTCATTTCTTTTCCTTTTCTTTTCATTTCGTTTTTCTTTCTATTTTTTTTCTTTTCGTGCTTCATTTTCAATTTGTATTTTTTTGTTTTATGTGATTTTTTATTATTCTTTTAATTTTTTTATATTTTATGTTTTTTCCTTTTTCCCTTTTCTTATTATTTTTTATGTTGTAAATGTGATGCTCTATTTTTATCTTTTCTTTTCTTTTTTCTTTTGATTTCTTTTATTTGTTTCTTTTCTAATTGTTTTCTTGTGATTCATGTTTTTTATATTTTTATCTTTCTTTAATTTTTTTCTTTTTCCTTTTTTCTTTTGTTTTCTTTTTTTCTTTTTTCTTTTTTCTTTTCGTGCATCATTCATTTTTTGTTTTCTTTTTATGTTTATGTGTTTATTATTATTTTTATCTTATTTATTTATTTTTCTTTCTTTTATTTTATTTTCTTATTATTTTTATGATGTTCTTTGTTGTTTTTTGATGTTTATGTGTATACATGTGATGTTCTATGTTTTTTATATTCACATGTTATACATGTGATGTTCTGTGATGTTTTCTTTATGTTCACGTGGTATGCATGTAATGTTCTATGTTGTATTTTGCGATGTCGGTGTAATATACATGTGATATTCTTGTATTATAAATGTGATTTTCTATGATGTTTTTTTTATGTTCACACAATATACATGTGATGTTCTACGATGTTTTTTTGTGATGTTCACGTGGTATATATAATTTTATGTTCTATGATGTTTTTTTGATGTTCTTAAAGTATACATGTGATGTTCTATGATATTTTCTGTGATGTTTACGTGTTATAAATGTGATTTTTATGATGTTTTTTATATGTTCACGTGGTATAGATGTAATGTTTTATGATGTATCTTGTAATGTTCGCGTAGTATACATACGATGTTCACATAATATATAATAATGTTCTATGATTTTTCTGTGATGTTCATGTAGTGTACACGTGTTGTTTTATTATGTTTTTTTGATGTTCACCTAGTATACATGTAATGTTCATTTAGTATATATATATGATGTTTTATAGTATATTTTTTAGGATATTTGAAAAAGTATCCATATAATATTCTTTTAATTTTTTCTTTATTACGTGCTTTTTTTCCTTATGCTTTGCTCTAGTTTCATTAAATTTTATTTATGTTATGTATTTATTTATTTTTATGTATATTATAATGCCAATTTCATGAACCTAAACAGAGAATATTCTTCTTATAAAGATGAAACATTGTTCTTTGAACTTATAACATTGTCTCTGCTCAATAATAGAAAATGTTTTATCTTCGTAAGTCAAATGTTTGTTAAATTTTTTTATTTAAATATATCCATGTGGGATCTTGTTTAAAAGATTTATTGCAAGAAATCTGATGGTGTAATTGAAATTTGGTTTGAAGGTTTGGTTTAAGCGTTATGACTTTTTTTAATTCGTTAAAAGCTAATTGCATAGGATGTGGGTGAGTGGGCCCTACGCGATGGGAGAACAGGCATCCCACGATCCTTGCGGCCCGGGCGGGAAGCTACGGTTATGTTGGGCGAAAAAACTAGGCTAGAATTATTCAGCCTGTTCGCTAATTAGTTTCTGAGCTAATAAATTCAACTGATGCTGATTTATTATGAGAAAAAAATACTATAGCACGACTGATAAAACCAACAAACGAAACCATGTTGAAAGTTGAAACGTCTAACGCGAAAGCAATCCCACTTCCCCGTCCTTATAAAAAAAAAACCCCACTTCCCCGTGTCCTTGACTACCCCTTTTCTCGGCAGTTTCTCCACAGGTCCCCAAAACCCCCGACCACAACCTCTCGCCCCTCCTCTCTCTCCGCCTCCGCCTCCGCCACTGTTTCCATCCATCTCTCGCCGCGCGGGTTCCCCGATGCCCTCAGCCCCCGCCGCGGTCTCCCCACCCCACCGAAACCCTAGCTCCGATTCCCATATCGATGGCGGGCGTGGCGACCGCACGCGACGTGGAGGAGGTCATCCAGAAGCTCCACTCTGACCGGGCCAGAGTCCGCGATGTGAGAACCCCTCTTCTCACTCAGAAACGAACAAGGATTGCTGCCTGCTTCCTTCCTGACCAATTCCTTCGTGTACCGCAGGAGGGGGTGAAGCTGCTGGGGACATGGCTGCAGGGTGACCGCGCTGCGTCCTTCTGCCGCCTCCTCGGCCGCAACACCTCCAGGTTCAAGCCCGGCCACGGGAACCTTACCGGCGGTCAGTTCGTGCTTTTGCCTTACCCCTCTCGCATGCATTTCCCTTACCCCTCTCACATCATCGGCTGATGGTTTCCCGATTTTGTTATTGATGGCGCTGATGCTATTTGTTTGCAGCCTCCACGTGGCCGCTCCTCGTCCTGGCCCTCATCAACTGCGTCAAGGAGGACATCTCGGGTAAGAAGCGCGGCGCCACCAAGAGCGCTGCCGCCCGGATGTTCCGCGTTGCTGTCCAGTGCGCGGAGGACGTCAAGCTATCAGGTTGGCTCTGATTCGAAGGGCTTCTCGTATTTGATCAGTCTGCTGTTGTCTTCTGTGCTGTACTGTGATTGATTGAACTTCAACCGGCACAACTTGTGATGAGAATTTGAGATGTATGTATCTGAGTACTGTAGAGACGAGGTGACGGTTTTATATATGGTTTGTGATTTTCATTTCCCTGCAACAAAACATGGAAAATAAGGTGGCATGCTGCTATCGTTCAAGAAGTTCAGATAAAAATTGTTTCTGGACCATGCTAGAGTGTCAGATACTCAGATGTTTTTGTTTTTACCATGTTATACATAAATTTTAGAATTGGGCAGGTTGCCAATAACATTTCATAATTTTCACGCACAGAGTGCAGTATTCTTTAGACAGTGTGTCCTGTAACATTACCCATTGTGTTCTTAGTGTTCTTATTAATAACAGATTTTGTAGTAGGTTGCTAGTTGTTAATACATTCTGATATTTATTTTGTTCACATCTGCTTGCTCATGTGAATTTTCAAATAGCATGTAACTTTAAATTGTTTTATCATCTAACAGTAGAGTTGATTTTTGCGCAAATGACAAGTGATTTTGACAGTATTGAATTCTGTATAGTATTTGATGGAGTTGCCTTGAGATGATCCAATGCATATTTTTGCTAACACTGATCATTGCCTGGTCTTATAATGATGGTAATTTTCATAGTCTTTGGCATCTGTTGGGTTTGTGTGATTCAGCATTCTGGTATATATTCCCACTTTCTAGCAATATGTTTCTTTTTTACCCAGATGCCTGATGTGTGCACAATCAGTTTTTCAGTTGCTTTGAAGTGAAATATACTCTGCATGGCATTACAGAAGTGGTACCTGTCTTTGCAGGGCATTCGCTACTTTTGTTCTCAGTTGCTAAGCAACTTTTCATTCATATATGGGAGGTCATAAAAGATGGCCCCAGCTTTCAGTTAGAGTACAGCATAATTCTTAGACAGCTTCTAAATGTGAAGGAGTACCGCTATCAGATGAAACCTCGAATATATAGCAGTGAGTTTTGTTATCAGAGGTGCTGTATTATCATATTGTAGCACCCATTTATTTATATTTGCATGCATTATCCTCAGATTTTGTATCACTCTACATGAAGAAGGTTGCTACTGGTTTTGATGCAAAATTCAGCAATCAGGCGAGCTCCAAGGATGAATCCTTCCGCTGTACATTGACACTTCACGTTCTACTTGAAAACCCACCGGGTGATTACCCCGATATTATGCGGGAGGAGGTTCTTAACGGATTTAGTGCAATCTTCTTACATATTAGGCAAGTAGTGTGGCCCATGCTCTTTTGTCTCTTTTAGATCCCTTGACTTTATTGTCTCCTTTTAACTTCACTCAGTTGTGAATTCCCATCTCTGTTGAACTCTGTTGAAAGTAGGTTTTTGTTTTAGAACGGGTGCAGTCTAACTTTTAGAACTTTGGCCACCATTTTATTTAAAATCATTTAGATTTGTCAATGAGATTTAGATTAACAACTTCATCATAAAAAGTTATTTAAATTATAATATTTTATTTAAGTTCCTTATATATCTAGAAAGGTTATAGTCAAAGATGTGCATTGGAGACTGGTCATCTAATGGCAAATAATCCGACATGGATTGATAAATTGATTCTGTGAAATCAGGGAGGAGGGAAAGCTGACTCGCAAACTTATGGAATGCATTAACACCTTTTTACTAAAGGATGGGCCAAACCTGGGATACAAATCTGTGAAGATCCATAATGCAGTTCAAGAGTTTATATTCCGTTGTTGGCTGGCAACTCATGATCAGGCCTTGAAGGTTCTGGTGACCTGACTGGCAGTTTTGTAACTTTATTTCTTTGTTTTTACAAAAACTGCATTGCATTTTCTGCTTCATCTTTGAAAGCCGTTTTTTCTTTCAGAGTTTGTTCATAACCTATGCGAAAGTTCAGCTGAAGATTGCCAGGAATTTTCCAGAGATTTTGGAAAAACTTGTTGACGTCATCATTAAGGAACTAGACAAAAATGTTAACACCGGACCTGGTGTTCTATGGTAATGCAACTGTTATTATTTAAAGTATTTTATGTTTTTGAGTTCTTAATTGATGAAATTCAATTACTGCAGGTGTGAGGCACCACGAGATGAGAAAGCTGTGTCCTTAAGGTGCTTCCAAGAGGAATGGATGGATCTCTCTGCTACTGTTTTTTATCTGGTATTTGGATCCACCACCCAACTCACCCGCATATTACACAGCCCCCCCAACCCCCCAAAAAAAGTCGGCACAGCCAGTCAGCCATGCAAGCGGCCACTAATTTGATTTGCAGATCTTTTACTCAATACAATATATCCTTGCTCGGTTACAAATAACTTTACAAACATTTAGGCCTGCAGATGCACAATGAAGAGAGCAAACAGGGAGAAAAGGCTGAAGACAGAACATATTATGAACCTTATCGTTGATGGCCTTTTTAGAGGATCTTTGTTTTGGTAAGTTAATTATACATCATGCACACCCTTTCAACTGGAAACTGGTCATCTATGACGACTCTACACTTGTCCCAGGTTTGAAACCCCCTTCTGAGTTATGACTGATAAGTACATTGACCCAAGAGTCACCTGTTATTAATCTGTATCCTGTTTCCTGTACTTCTCCATGCCTTTAAATGTTGCTTCCTAGTTTGTGTGGTGACTATAGCTTCTTCTGACTAGAGTATGCAGTTTTCTCACATGTATCTGTATAAGCCAAATGCGATGTTACTCCCTCTGGAAGCTCATGCCAGTCTCTTAAAAAAAAAATCTTCCGTCTTTTGTAAAGTCTTAATATTTCCATGTGTTACTGCCCGAACCCCCCTGACCTAAATCTTGGGCGCTATTATGCTCTAATACATGTTAGGAGCCTGATATTCGGTATTTGGGGTATCTTTCATCGTCCCATTTACACCCTTGCATCTAATCTGCTCTCTTAGTCGGTCCATTTTTTCTATTATTACTTTGATTCGGTGACCCCACAATTGATAACCTTGCTGTTACATTGATATTTTATCTAGTAGAACTTATTATCAATAACATTCTTGGTGCAGAAGTAGTGAGAGTTCACGACTCTTCCATTTTATGCACATGTTATTAGCTTCTCTTTACATATATCTTTTCTCCCACAGGAGCGGTTCCGTTTGTTTTCTGATTCACAAGTATGGATATCATATGGACAAATCTTTGCTAATTAGTTGGTTTGAAGCAAGTTGCAAAGCTTTGAGAAGGTAGTTCTACTTTCATAGTTTTTTTTATGTGATGATATCCCAAAGCTGGTAAATTGAATGCCTACTTTGTTCCCGCTGTCTGATGTCTCCTTGTCAAGTACTTCTGTTATTACATTTTGTGGTTTTCAGAAATATAGTGTACACAATACGCATTTAGCTTGTGTCCCTTATTTACGTTCAATAACCATTTGTACCTCAACTTTTGGAATACATAGTTAATTGCTGGTCATATGGCAATAAGGTAAAGCAAATCACATGGTGGATATCAGTACTACAATGGTAGAGAGAAAAATATATCAACATATAGTTATATAAACGAGGTTTATATAAATTGAAGCATGTGCATGCTATTTTTCTTCTCTATTATAAAGTGGGAGGAATGATTATGCTTGCGACCTTGCATTACTTCTCCTGCTCAACACAGATGAAACATGCTAACTGAACCAACATTTCTAAATTTGAAAATAAAGAATGAATAACATTAGATGTCTCTAAAATTCGAACTTTTACATGTTTTCATTTATTACTTCTGCCTCTGTCCGCTAATATAAGGACTTGGGTTCAAATTTTGTCCGCAAGCGCAAATATAAGGATTTTCCGAGTGTCTATTCAAGAGCTAGCCAATCACAATCAGACCTGACCATAAATTGACCCGGGTGCTTTAATGAGGGGCATGAAGACTTTCCCTACCTGCCTCCCCGCGCCCCCCCCCTCTCAAAAATCGCAGAAGTTCAAGTCCTTATATTTGTTATTCAGGGGGTGGGGTGGGGGGCGGTAGGTTCCTAGAAGTTGCTCATTTTACTCGTTTTCTTTCTTTATGGTGAAAAGTTCTCTATGATTTGGCTTGTAGTACTTCTGTGATGCAATATATATGATTCATTGACTGCTACTATGTTCACACAGTATCTTGAGCCATGCAAATGCCATACGATTTCAGGATTCTCTACTCTGGCTTCTCAGGTTTGTTTGGTTCTACCAGTACTACATTTTGCCCCTTCTATTGTTTTCTTTCTTCTCTCTCTGGGGTGGGTAGGGGTGTGGTGGTGGTGTTTATTTATGGCTTATAGCATCTGATACCATTGTATGTTGTTCAATGGACATGGTTATCACAATTTACTGTTTATTTGAAGTGTAAATGGTCACCAAGTAAAATGATATGGAGCTAACAATTACCCACTGCTGCATTTTTTTTTTACTTTTTTGTCCTATCAATAATAGTTGCTAACTTGTCATTGTTCTTAACAGGACATTCATGGAGTTCTCTACAGTGCTCATGTTTAACACTAGGGAGAAAGTACAATTTTGTTTAACAAAAGGCGAGGTTAAGTTTTCGAATCCATATTTTTATTTTCAAGAACTTCCGGCTATTTTCTGCTTACCTTATTTTCTCGAAGTAAACCATTAATCAACTGGCTTCAGGATACAGAAGATCTGTATCTGTGTTATGCCCTCCCTTAATGACTTAATAAAATTACTATATGCACGCCGTAGAAAAGTTTGGGCCCATTTTTTTTTACATTTTGTAAATTTCCAGAAAGATTGAGAGCATTTAGAATTTGCGAAAGTGGTAATTTTCTGGGAATACCCTTCAAGTGATAACACAACTGCACACAGCTTTATGAGGTTGATGTGGCATTTGCCCATTGTGAAGTTTTATTTTATTTTATATCTAGATGTGTAGTGAAAACTTCCAACTATCCGTTCTCGAAAGGACCAATGATTATATTAGAGGTGCTACTTTTGAAGTTTAAGTGATTGTCTGATACATTTTGAGTCACATGCACCAACCAGCTCACACACACTACAGCTATCTATGTATCCCATTGCCTTTGATTCTAGATCTAGCTAAAAGAACGATTTTGGTTGCTTGGCACCACACCTTCCAGAATATGGAGAATTTTGAAGGAACCTATTATTCTTGGACAGTCAACAGACATAACTTTAGTCTGTATATACATGTCATGAATGGGGCTAGTCCTTTATTATATAACACTGCTTTCCAACAGCTTCATTTTAAATTTTGGACAACCATAGTGGCTCTAGTTTAACATAATTACTCATAGAAACAACTTGTTTCCTGCTCTTCTTTGACTGTTTTCTATATTTTGGGTGCACTCAGTATTGCAGCCACATCAAGCAGTACTGAGCAGGCTGTTTGCTTATAGTTTTCAGCATGTCGAATCATGACATTATGTTTTATGACACCTCAATTCTTTTCCCAACCAAGTCTTGCCATTTTTGTAATCCATTGTGAACTTAAAGTTGATGATGTCGTCCAATAAGTTACCTGTTTATTGCAGATGTCAATTGTTGAAGATTGTTGGCAAGCCGTATGGAATTCCCTTGTTCACGCACTTCCATTGTTAAGCAGCATAGATCTACTTGTGAGCACCAATAAACTACACTATATGACCTTTTTCGTATATTGTTGCATTGCTTCTTTTTCTGGTGTATCATTACTTGTTCTAATGAAATGGTATCCAACTATTTGTTGGATAGTGTTTCTTGAATAATAATGAAACACTTATAAATTAAACTGGCCATTAAACAAAAGAGTTATCGTGCTGTATTTACATCTTCCAGTATCCACATTTTTCAGGATTTTAGTCTCTCAAATGAAATGATGTCTTTGCCAGTTATTCTGTACTAATTGCTTATGTTATGCTTATGGTGTCTTATGAACTAGTGAAATATCACAATAATTGCTATAATACAATTAAATTTTTCACTGGATCTGTGTTTTATAGATTGGAATTCAGAACTTTATTCAACTTTATTCTGAAAATTTGGCAACACTTTTCACTGTAAACTTCATCTGGAGCTGCGATCTCAACCTGATTTATCTATGTCCCATCATATTGTTTTTTTGGAAGGACAAGTCAGGACCGCAATTGTTATCTTAGTACCTTAATCATTTTATCTTCTTATAAGTGCTTATTTGACATGACATTTGACAAGTTAGATGATTTGAAAACTGTTTATATACCATCTTGCAAACATAATTCTTAACTCATTACATTATGTGGCACCTATCTAGTACCCTTTGATTGTGTAACAGTGTGCACTTTTGTAGGCTGATTCAGCTCTGATTTTGCTGGGTGGAATGATCGTGCAGGTGAGCTTCCCACCCTCAGTTTAGTCAGTTGCCAACTTATCATCCAGGATGAGCTCTAACTATTCCTGCGAGTAACTTATAGCTACCACTAGGTGTTTCTAATGTTTTCTTTTTTCTCTTCTTCCAGAACCAAGTTCATACACCATTTCTATCAGAAGATACATGGAACCTGCAAATATTTAAACAATTTCCATCGCCGTATGCTTTCTTCCTCTTCTTTTTGTAATTGTTGGTTTAAAAGTGACCCTGTTTCTACAATAGCTCTATTTTAGGAACTATTTTTGTTGGCACTTCCACTTCTTTTCGTACCTTCTCGTTGATTGAATTTGATGGTTCTTTTTCTTATGAAATTGGTAGGGCTGAGCCCTAATATGAGAGATAACAATAATGTTGAAATACAACAGAGTTCAATGGACAAGCCAGAGGTTCTAAACATTAATAATCTGGCAAAAATAAATTGCAGATGCAGAGAATATCTTACCATTATCTTAGGATGATCACTTATACATTTGTCCATTGTTAATGTTTATATGTACTAGGTCTTTAATTGGAGTTGTATATCATTTGTAACCTAGGTACTTGGATAATTGGGGTTTACTGTGGCATCAATATTTTTTGCTATCTTATTTCTGCTAATGACCAATTGGTCCATATAATTATCCTTATGTTTCTTCTGAGGAGTAGAAGTTTCTTTGTGTGGTCAGTTGTACATGGTATACAGGCTGCACCTATTTTTTAGTTTTCTAGATGATGACAGACAAAAAATGTAGCAGAAAGTTCCACTTCTTGAATGCTACTGGCTTCTTTACTGAAACCTCTAAATGACTGCTTTATGTAGCTGTGAGGTTATGGAAAAGTTCCACCAATGAATTCACATTGTTTGGACCTGATAAACTGCACTGCAGTTGGGGAGAAAATTGCTGAACATTACAAGATATACATTTTGTGACCATTAGTTAGAGAAACAGTTTTCTGAGATCACTTGTTGTCTGCAATAGTAGTAAGTTCTTTGAAAAAATGTTGTGCTGTAAAGATATTGCCTTATGTAGGTTATTGAATTACTTATGTAGTTATGTTTCATAAAGATTATTTATGTTTTGTAAGGATTATTTGAAATAGCCAAATAGGCAATAATTACTAGGGGTATGTGTATATACCGAGTTGGGTTTATCATTGGATTGAGAACAGAAAGTAAACCTTACCAATTTATCAGCTATTTAGGTTCTTCAAGTCAAAGGAGGCAATGCTTTTTCTTCAAGGACCTGGTGGAGAAATTTAATCTCATAAACCTGAAACTGAAAGTTAAATTGGTCTTGTTAAATTTATAGATTCAATGAAGTTTAGGGCTTTGAACCTACATTGAAATTGCAAACTTATTGCGAAGTGTTTTCTTGCACCAAGAACTGAATGGTTTGGTTGCAATTGGAAATAAATAACTCATTGAGCATTGATTCCTTGCAACAGCTGAAGCCCCTTTCGTGGCAGCATAATAGATTCCATCAATTCATTTGTTATATATTCTGTGATATGTCCGACATCTTTGCTTCGCCTTTCCTTCAGTACTTTACTGATCTGGATGTTTTTGCCTAGCCATTTGCAGTGTTCTTGCTAATACCGAGTTAAATTTTAGAATTTCATTTCGGTTACCACAGAAGTTATGTTACAGTCTTTATTGCTCCTTGTTCTTCCTTCAGGTCTGCTCTGTATTTTGTTGCCTGTTACTTCTCAAGGATAGGCTTTCAGGTATGTTAGCTACCTTGTACTGCTTGTTTTGCTCCTTTGGGCCTCTATGGTAGGGTGGCAAAAATTCTAGTACTTCTCGTAATTTTGTTTCAACTGTTCTATTTTGAAAGTATAAGTACTCCTAAATCTTACTCCTGTAATTCGGGTGAAGTCACCAGGACTGGACATAAAAGAGAACATTCTGAGACCATTTTTCCAATCTTGTAGTTTGTGTCGGAAATAGTTTCAGTTGATTTGATTATTTAGTCAAATCTGCTATTACCAAATGGAAGTTTTATTGTTTTACCTTTTAAGTTGTTTATGGCTCAGCAATCACAGATGGCATATTGCTACTTATTTTAGAGCTATCATATACACTTAGCTGCTTTCATAGTTATTGAACAATGCATATGCTGCCATTTGTTATTATTTGCCTAATTTGTCCATGATCAAGCTTGAGAAAAAAGTTTAAACTTGTACTCTTGGGTTTTGTGTACTACCATGCTTAGCAGACTAAAATCTTGAACTGATTGTTGTAAATCAGTGCATATAAGATTTAGTGTGGTAATGTGTATCAATAGAAACAACTGAAAGCAAAAAGCCAAATCACCTTAATAGTTTGGTATACTAGTTCTGATTATCTGATCGCATTATCCTGTTCCAACAGTCACTCGTGGATTAGTTACTATTTATCTATTTTTTATTTCAAATATGCAAAAAGAATGATTCCATTCTTTAATATCACACCCTGCAGGGTGACTTATCCAATTCTATCTTTGTTCGGAAGACTCTGCTAAGGTCAACTTTGGAGTTAATTCATTCAAAGGTGATCTTTTGATTTTTTCAAGCAACTTCTTTTTATTTTTATTTTTTTGGTTCCAAATTTGATCAAGTATTCTGTGCTTCTTGAGAAACGAGTTCATTATTTTGCTTCATATATGTTCTAGAGTTTAGGTTCATGTTTCCGATGGTGTTATATAAATGAACTGATGTGCAGTAGTGCAACATTTAGGCAAAAGATAAAACAGTGTATAGGTATAAGCATCAAATTGTTCTTTTGAACATTTATATACAGAGGTAAATTTTCTGAGTCATTTTTAGTAGCTTCTGGATTGAAGGTACCACATTGTTTTTTTTTTTCACTTTTGTTTTTGAGATTTTTCTTTTCTTTCGTTCATTGGCATTAGGACCCAACCAATTCAAAAAGAAAGTCCTTTTTTCCTTTCATTTTGAGTATCCCTTCTTCCGGTGCTAGGAGTACGTATTGTTTATGCCATATGTTCATCAAAGACAAGTTCTAAACGAATGAGTCGGTTTCGTAAAAGTTCTTTCCTTTGGGTCTGAAATTGTGAAGCATTCTGTGCAATTATTCTTTTAAAGAAGGAACTACATATTTTACACAGTTACCCATTTGTGGTATCTAATTGGTGAAAGGGTAAAGGGTCTTGAGGACAGGAATAAAGTTGACGTTGCTCTCATCGGTGTTGGGTTCGATTCCAAACACCAGGAAATTCGTTAAAGGGTGGTGGGCGGGTGGCGCTGGTGCGGAGGCAACGATAGCTTGTGGGGCGGGCAGTGGTGAAGAGGGGAAGAAGAGATAAGGCTGTCTGCTGGGGTTTACTGATGACATGTGGTGTCCAAGGAACTAGTTAACGGTGACCAAGTTTATGGAAAAATATATTGACATCTACAATTCCAGATAAATGCATTATCAAAACATATTTCATGGTGGATTTAATGAAACTATTTTGTTGTTGTAGATTTTGGTGCATTTTTTTTATGAACTTGGTCAAAGTCAGAGAAGTCAGACTTACGACAAAACTAAAAAAGGGCGTACCCAGTGCATAGAGCTCCCGCTCTGTGCGGGGTCTGGGGAAGGGTGTCAGTGGCAAGCCTTACCCTCGCCTATGCAATGCGAGGAGACCGCGACTCGAACCTGGGACCTTCCGGTCACAGGCGGTAAGACTCTACCGCTCGCACCAGGCCCGCCCTTCACTTACGACAAAACTAAAATCTCCTAAATTTGGGAACGGAGGGTGTATATACTACCATGCTGCTTATAGTTTAGGTATTGGGAGCCAGGAGTAGTTGATTTGTGAGTATGTTTCCAACTACCAAATCCTGGTGGCACCCTTACACACATGCGGGTCAATTTAGTGGTAAAGAATGTTCCCTTGTATGTGTTTAGTTTTCTGATTAGGGGCATGCATGGATTGGTGAGTTTGCTGTGCATGTGTAGTGGCAAATGTGTGTTTGCATCTTTAATTGCCAAGAAAAAGTTTGCTATTTGGGTTAACACTAATAACAAATAAAGGGGGTGAAATGGACTTCAGTCCACCTGACTCCATAGTGTATGTTGTTGCCTTTTGTGGTTATGCTATGCACCACTATGTCCATCGGTAAGCTTCATGTGGAATGGGTCATCCATTTTCTTTCTTCCTTGAGATTTGCAAGCTGAATCACTGGTTCATTTTTTTTATGACAGGAATTCTCTCTTTTGAATGAACAAAATGTTGTTATCATTCCTGAAGCTATTTTCTCGCTGTGTGCTGGTTTTTCATCATCAGCAATTAATTCATCGGATGTATTGCAACTGTTTGGTGATTGTAAAATTTATTCCAAGGTATATTGTTAGTTCGTCATCACAAGATTTTACAGATTACAGTCGAGTATTTCTGAACTTGTATTTGTTCACTTAGTGCCAATTTGATTTGTTTTAGATGTCTCTTGAGGACGATAACTGGGTTCTCAAAGATGAACTACCTTACTCTGTGGAAGCTTTATCAGAAATCACTCTGGATACTCGTACCAAGGTGCTTCACTTATTGTTCTCAGTTGCTCTGCTATTAGCACTTGTGAATGCTAAAAAACACTTTGCCTGGCAGTATAATCTTCTATATTTTCCTCGTCTCTCCTTTGTTTGGTCTCTTGTGAATGTTAAAAAATACTTGTACCTGAGGTTAAAAAAATACTGCTATTAGCTCTTGTGAATGTTAAAAAATACTTGTACCTGAGATTGAAGCATTTTTTGACAACTAGGTCTTTCATGTTGTAACTAGAATATCCTTCATCACAGAAATGATATAAAGCCCTCCCAAACGTTGATGTAAAAGAAAGCATGCTTTGAGCAGCGTGCCTTTTTTTCTTCCCTTTTTTGCTGTACATGGTAAGAGCTGGACTATGGTACACTTAGGCACCACCTCCTCCACACAAAAGCTCATCAAACCTGGAACTCACCATGACACTAACTAATGTACAATTTCCACTTTAGCATGGAAGTAGTTTTTTTAGAAGAGAGTTTCCTTTGGTTTTATAGAAAGCAACTGGAAGCAGTTTAATAAAAAAAGACTTTATTGAACTTTTCAGTGTGCCTATTAGTGTCATACTGTCATTTGTTGCAAGTACCAGCATAGTGGTTGATTCCATCTGGAATGCTTGGTATTTTGAATGGTTCAATAAAGTTTACCGGTGGTTAAACCCATAGTTTGTTGTCTTAGTAAGTCAGACTTTGGTGGTCCTAAAGATTATTCTTGAAACGCAATTTTTGTTTGACTTCTTCTACTGATAAACTCACAGAAGATGCTTTATTGGTTACAGGTTATGTCTCATAAAGGCCACCGTATACATCTTCCTGGGACTATCCAGCAACCAATGCTCCTCGAGCTCATGGAATTCATCAAAGGATTTGTGGTCTCAAATGAGCAGTTTGAGAAAGTGGACTTGAAAAATCTTGTTCTTGTTTGTTCTCTTCTCTGCAATCTGATTCATTGTGCATTGTTGTCAAGGTATCTGTTTTATTTTCATCTCCTGGTCTGCTTTATATTTTAATATGTCAGTGGTACAACATTTACATCTCCAGGAAAATTTTGCACCCAATGAAATTAAGTACCATATTTTGATAATTTAGTTTTGCCTTGAGTTGGAAGCAATATGGTTGTGTTCAAATTCATAAATTTTGCTGCAATCGGGAGATAATGCCCCATAAGTGGGAAGGGATCCATCCTCCCTCATTTTTCTATTCCTATGCACCTGTTTCCCAAAGTCTTGGCCTAGGCTGGGTGCAGTCCACATGGCTCTCAGCCTGGTAGACCGGTTTGTTCAATAGGCTGTTTTCCAGTAGTTCCATATAAAACTGGGATTCAGCCCATCTATTCCAGGTTCACCCGCATGGCCAGTCTTTCTAGCAAATTAGATCAGTGCACAAATCGGTTCTTGTTTGACTGCTGTCAGTCTGGTTTTATGGTTGAAGCTATAACTTGAGTGTCACGTAGTGCCCATGAGTCTTATCGGGGTTGTCGTTCAGTATGCCTAACATCCTTTTGTTGTTCTGTGAGTTTTTTTCAGGTCCATGGAAGAAAAATCTTCACTTTTGCAAGAGGCAGTAGATTATATCACCAATATTTTAAAACATATTGTGTCATTTGTTATGAAGAAGAATGATGGACTTTCTCATGGTCTTACTAACCTAAGTTCAACATTGGATACAACGGGCTCTGCTTTATCCTCGATCAAGAGCTTACTGTCTTCTCCAATATTTAATCTGTCAAGAGTTGATAATAGAGTTTGTTCTGTGGTTATCAAAAGCATTACTGAATTACTTGATGAACTCTTGGTTGCAATTTCTCAGCTGTTTTGTCAGATTTCTAGTTTAGTGAGCAATTTTGATGCAGAGAGTGCTGGTAAAGTGCTACCAACATCCAGTGTCAACTCAGAGGACCTAAATCCTATTTTGGACTGTAAAAGTAGTGTTGCTGATATGGATCTTGATGTGATGGACTCTGGTGAAGTAGATTCTGTCACGGCTAGTGCGAGTGGAAGTATGGGTAGCTTCTTACGACCTTTGGAGTGGAAGCTAGATCTAGTTTGCATTATTTCAACTTTTTTCTCAGTTTCATCACTTCGTACATGGGAAATTTTGTACAGCTTGGTGGAGAAAGAAAGTGATGTGAAGGTAAATTTTTTGATGATAGCTGCTTAATATTGTTGTTATTTTACTTCAAAGCTATCCTTGTAATACCTGGTTTCATTTTGCAGGTTCGTCAGGTCATCTTGCTTAACCTTTGCAGAAACATCTCAGCGTCATCTAAAACTGTATCTTCAGTGGTACTCTATGGCTCTTATCTTTCATTAGATAAAATCAGTACTTATGCTGTTAGCTTATGTGTTTAATCCAATCAGGCATTTATGTGATTTTAACATGTTGACATCAATCATGCAGGTCCATCTTATAATTGATATGAGGAACAGAGGTACAAGTTCATTACTTGGCCCTGCGGAGTGCTTAACTCATATACATGCTTTATTAAAAACATTGATAGCTATCCGTGATGGTGGGCAAAATGCTGATGGAAAGCCACCAGGACGCGAAGTGTTTTTCATTGAGGTTGGTATTTACATATTTTACACATGATATAATTTACTGTGTCTTGTGATATTTTATTTATACATTCAAGGTTTCAATGACTGAATAAGAGAGTTGTTTGGTGCAGTTTCTTTTTTTTATTGGTTGAACATTTTGATCTCAGAGTGAGACATTAGAAACCTATCAGTCACAATAAATCATGTGATTAAATTGGCTGTCATTTCTTTAATCTTGAAATATTCACTGATCAAGGGAAGCACAATTATTTTGGTTGTCTTTTAATTTCAGTCAGTTAGGGGCTTACATGTTTTATCCTCCAACTGACTGATAGATATGTTCCCACTATCTGCAGAACCAGGACATCATATTTGACTTGGTAAATAAGGCTACAGAGATAAGTTCCGTAGATTGGTTTTCTCGCATCAAGCTCATTGATTGTGTCTCCTCCTTTGTTTGCCTGTTCCCTGATGTTGCCCAGGTGATTCTTATATCTTGCTTTTATCAAGAGAACTGCCATTGAAATGTACTCCATTACATCAGTAATTTAATATCATTATTATAATTGCAGGATTTGATCGGATGTTTGCTTGACATGCTGCATGATGCTGATTACCGTGTCAGGTTATATTTGGCTAGGCAAATCGTCATGTTATTCCAAACATGGGAAGGGCACAATGAATTATTTAATGATGTTTGGTAGGTATTGACAACTATGATTTGATGGTTTTGTGTTAACTTTTAGAAGTGAATTAGATATTCATATGATGAACACTTATGACTCATTACCAGTCATCTTAAGCATGTAACTTAGAGAGTAGGTTTAGCCTTTTCCAAACCATGATATCACCACAAAGCTAAAAAAATGCCAATCCAGTTAGTGCTAAGGTACCTGTAATAGTTGACTGCTCTACATGAAAGGAGTTTTGCTCAGTTTTCTCGATAATATTCTGCAGCTAATCACTACTAATTTCCTAGAGCTAAGAAAGGTTCCTTCTGAAAAGGCGCAAGGTGGACATTCATTTGACATTTTAATATTGTATTTGTTTTGTACATAGAAGGTAGAAGGTAGAAGTTAGGGCCTACTGAATGTAGGGGATTGCTGGAACTTAGTATCGTCCCTGTCCCCCACATCTGGACAAGGCTAACTTAGAGAAGTGCATACAGATTTATCTTGTCGAATCTAAGTGAGAACTATCATTTAGATAATTATTAATGTTATATATTTACATTTCGAAATTTATTATTTAAAGCACGGACTACTTTGCTTTTGCTATCATTTCCTTGAATGAAATGGCAGCTTGTATTCAGGATATTTTCTTGGATCGACGATATATAATTTTGGGTAAATCTATTGGTTTATGTCTTGGGCAGTCTGTTAGGCCTTATGGGCTGGGTCAGCAGTATGAGAGGCCCATTTGGGTTAGGGTGAAAGATAAAATTAGCCATCTTGCTTAGGAGTCGAGTAAACCTCTCTGTATAAAGAGAGGAGATGAATCAATCAAAGGAGCCAAGTAAGAGATCAATCTATTTTCATCTTCCTGTCGCTAGTTCGTAGAGCGTCATCGCTGGCCCATAACCTGCGGCCTACTGTTTAGGACCACGTCGAAGTTATCTATCCATCCAACCCCCACCTCCATTACATTTATCTCCTAATTTTCTGTACAAGACTGAAGTGATAACTGATAATGGATCATACTTGTGACATTTAACTATTAGTACTCTTTAGTGCGATTGTTAGCTTAACAATGTTTGCCAATATCAGCTCAAGCATTGGTGCCAAGATGGTGAAGTTCTCAGATATTTCTCCAGTTACAGCTAGAGAAGTCTTGGCTGCTGGTCCACAATCTGTTCCCGTAATTGAAACTGCTCTCATTACACTAGCTCACTTGGCTGTGCATAGCGAGGATGTTGAAGTTGAGGTATGTCCTTATGGTCACCCCTTGTATTGTGCAACAGAAGCACATAACTATTTGCTAGTCTATTGTGTATAATTGATCTTTTTTCTCTGCCAACTGTTTTTGGTATGGAAGGAAGCTTTAATGTTAGTTTCAATTTTGATATATAATGTTATATTACAACAGCTAGCACTGTGTGTGTTGAGTTGGCTATGTGGCCTTTTGGTGTTTTGTTTTATAGGAATTCATATGCAGCATACATAAGTAATTTTATGGGAACCATGACACTAGGAGAGGTGCTGGCCAAACATTTGTATGATCTTTTCACTTTTTTGGTTCCCATAGCAATGCATGGGCTGCCTACCAAAAGAAAAAGAATAGAGAAGTTGGTTGTCAACAGTATTCAACTTTGTATAGATACTCTAGTGTCACTTAGCAAGAACCCAGTTGGATGCAAGTAAGAGAGATGCTTGCTGAACATTTGTATGCTCTTTTCAGTTTTTTCTCTCTGTGTTCTGTTTAACTCTCTTCAGTTTTTTCTCTCTGTGTTCTGGTTAAATGGTGGGCCTGGCGCAGTGGTAATGTATCTCCACTTGTGTCCTGGAGCCTGGAGGTCTCCGGTTCGAATGAGCCTCCTTGCCAAAATAAGCAAGGGTAAGGCTTGCTAGATGTTCCCTTCCCCAGACCCCACCTTATGTGGGAGCTTTCAGCAATGTGTATGCCCTTTTATCTGTTCTTCTGTTTCTCAGTGCTCTCTCAGCTGGCACTCCACTACCCCTTAGGACAACTATTGGCACCGACCTAACCCACTTTTTACTATACAACATGTTGTTTCCGGTGATTAAGTTTGAAGTGTTTCTTTCCTCTTTTTGAAGACAATCTCTTGTGTGTTTCTGGTAGAATACATGTTGTCTCTAGGTCTCACTTACATTGAATTGTTTCAGAAGTATTGGTTCAATCAGTGATTTATACTATATGCTTTGTGCAGTTTATATTTTAGTTGTTCAATCAACTGAGTTTTGTGTCCTCTGACTTCTGATGTTGCAGTGTGTGTTCATGATTTCTGCTGCTGCTGCTATAGAGCCTTCTCAGCGGTATTTTTTCACAAGCAATGAGCTATGTTTATGTTGGTGTACATAAATATTTTTTAAGATTAATAAATGGAAACTGATTTGATGCTTTATTTACTTTTATGGTTACTTCCTTTTCAGAGAATTAGCTTTTGCGTTATTTGATTCCATTTCAAGGAGGCTCGGTTATGCTTCAAGAAGCAAGGTGACTGGACACTTTTGTAGTTTATAGTGTGCACAGTTTCTGTTTGCTGCTTTTCATAGTGTGGCAAATGAGCCAACTGAATCTGAGATAATTTCTTATAATTATTGTAAAAGAGAATGATTTGCTTTGACATATTACAATTTACATATTTTGGTTACCTCTCTGGTATGCAGTATCTGGACCAAGTGATGGGCCCGATTCTTTTTCGATGGGTTGCTTGTGAGATGAATCTAGTTTCACTTGTTGAGGTAACATTTAGTTCTAATGCTTCTGAATATGTTTCTGATATCATCATAGATTCTCCCTCAAAATTTCGTTCAAAAAGGATTCTCCCTCAAAAAACGAAAAATGTCGGCATGGATTCTCAATATGATTTTGAGGTTTTCTCTGTGGAGTGCTATAAATGATCCCCTTTGAGATTTGCCTAACTCAATTCATATGATGCTTTTGATTTTTTTTTTAAGAAAAGAGTTACCTCTGCTTTTAAGAAAGCGATAAGATTCACCAGGAATGGCTGGGGTTGCCAACTTACAAAAGCACTCAGAAACTTATCCAACAGCTATCCTATTACAATTAGATTTCACCAATATCAGACACGTCCAAGGTCAATGGGCTGAAGCCCTTCATCCAACAGAGGACGATCCCCATGATCTCTTCAACTCGATCCTTGTCCTTTGGCTTGAGCTGGATAGACCACCCTGAATGTTTGATAACTTTTAGCCAAAAAATGCTTGTTATCCATGGCCCATATGTACAGTCTAGGTCAAAAGGTCAAATCTCTAATGCCTAGCCTTTCAGCTGCAAACTAGATTGCTACTTGTATTTTCTGTATTGGCTGCAGTTTGATTTAAATTGTCGTACTAGGGAGTGAAAATTATGAAAAATATCAACATTCTGAAGTTTTGGAAAGACAGATCATTTTTTTGAAGTGTCCAATATTTTTTCTGTTCCACAAAAATACGTTTCTTCACTCACTTTTTTCTGGGTGTACGTTTCCATGACCTCTGCATTGGGTGCTCTTTTTTCCTTTACTCTTAGAATAGCTGAAAAAATTTGGAATCAAAGGAACCAAACTATTTGTGCTTGATCTCATGATGTTATGTTGGAACCAACCAAAGGATCAAACTCACGTGAGACGTGACAAACGCTAGCACTCTGACTAATATAGATGCTAACTCACTGTTCACACGTGTGTACACACACGCACGCGCAGACAAGAGTAGTTGCAGCGGCACAGACCTTTTTTTTTTGGTTTTCTGCTAGTGACTACACACTGAAACAATGTGAAGCTAGCTAACAACTTGACATACTTACTAGATCCACTAACACATGCATGTACTAACTAATCAAACTCCTAACCACCTGGCTAGCATTTTGACTCGTGTGCACATGACTAGATTACGGCCTCAACGTCAACACATCACATTTTCAGCCACATGCTCATGCAACATGTCTAACAAGACGATGTGATTAAACACATCTATCCTACACGCAAAACTCAAAACACATACAAGTCAAAATTAGTGCTGACATGTTGTCCATAAGCTAGTAATTTTTTTTGTTACTATATTTAAGGATTACCTTTTTTTTGTTTCTCTGTATTTAATCTGTAATGTCCAATATTGCTAATGCAACAGGTGCAAGAAATGTTTGGTTATGGGTCTGCTGAGCCAAAGAACTTTGTTGAACATTGTAGTTCATGGCTTCTCCCTTTCCTCATTCTCAGGGGTGATGGTGCTGATATGAATTGGATATCGAAGGTGAATGTTTACTGTTATTCCAAAAAGACTAGTTAGTACATAATATATCATTAGTTTACATGTAGGGGTCATATAAACCTTTTAAAAAGCATATCAACAGCTAAATTTCCCATCCCATCAAAGAAAAATATCAACGACCAAGTACAGCATTTTCCCCCTTCTTTATCTTGTTTCCCTGAATGCCCTTTACTACTTTTGTGTTTACAGTGCTGTCTCCATGTTCTAATCTCTCTTTTGTTTTTATATATATTTGTTTCTCAGATTTTATCTCAACCTTTGTCAATCATTATCAAGAAATACTTCGTTCCAATCTTTGGATTGTGCATTGCTGTCAGATGTGGCACAGGGCCAGAGAAGGACTTAGCTGAAACTGTCTTATGTGAATCAGTTTTGCAGCTTGGTGAAATTTCTGAGCTTGAGCGTGATGATCTCATTAAAAAACATATGGTATGCTTCCCGATTAGAGCATCTCTTAATCTGCATGTGCTTCGTGATGTTCCATTGCTATGTGATTCAAAACTATCAGCCCTATCAGTATTGTTCCATGAAACTGTAGTGCTGGACTATTTTGGTAGTAAGTGGAGCAGAGATTTTTAGAATTGTTGAGGTGATTCCAGACCTGCGAATTCAGGCTTGCAATATCTTTACAGCTGTAGCTAATAAGATAACATTATTCTATCTGTTGACGTCGGCCAACACCAAAAATTATTTACTTAGAATGCATGATGTTTGTGCTACTACTAATTGTGTTCAACGCCTATGTATTGTCATTTCCCAGTTTCATTCTTGCTTATGATATATGATTATGTAAAGCTGTTTCAACTTTGGCTCCTTATTGTACTCATTCTTCTATTTATAGGTTGCGATCGTTGCTTTTTTGCTCTCTGTTTCATCATCTGCTCATGGGCCACAAATTCCATATTTTTCCAAGGAGAATGTTGCACTTTCAGTCAGAATGGTTGTTGATGGATTTGTGGACACAATGTATATCCTCATTCATTTGCCCTATGCGTTCTAATGCTTACATTATAATGCAATTGTTATTCCAGTATCATGACTGAGTTTTGACGTTTCAGGGATGATAATTTGGCTGATACAGTTGTTATTGATAAAATTAATATATTCCGTGCTGACAGAGTATTTAAGGTATTCTGTTTGTCTCATGATTGTCTTTTTTATGAATTCAAAATCTGCAAAGGATAATGGATTTGTCTAGCCCCCATGTTTTCTTTGAGGTCACTGTCTACTTGTCTAGTCCCTAGCTGCTGCGATGCCTTTATCTTTGTTGGTATGGATCAGGGTTCCAAATACCAGCAGGACTGGAGAATGCAGTTATTGAGTTGTGAAAGTGGTAAAATATGATAATACTATTAATACCGGGTTTCAGATCCCAGCTTGCAAGAAGAAAAAAAACCGTGCTGTGCTTCACCCAAAAAATAGTGGCAGCGTGTGGACCTGTGGCAACCTTGCTGCTGTTCCTGGGCGTAGTGGCAGTGGTCGCCACCCAGATTATGGTGCAGACCAATAGGGTGAGCCCAGGGTTCGGGGGTTTCCTTGGCTGGTTTGACTTAGTGCAAAGCTGTGGGGGCAGTCTTTCATTCACTGGTCAAGTTTTTAGTGTGCACCGGAAAACCAGCAGGTTGTTAGTTGTTAGGAATAATAGAGGCTGAATTGGATGATAATATTGAGGCCCAATAGGACTATATAGAGTCGTGAGAGACACAAGAGGGAAACCCTAGACTAGGAGATTACACTAATACTCACTATTATACCTTAACACCCCCTGTATAATGTTTTGCACTATTTTATATCTCTAGTGTTAATTTATTATTAAATTTGCTAAGCTATCAAAATTCCACCACGTGCTAAGCTATCAAAATAATGATGAAACATTTAAGATGTGTTTATTTTTAACATAAAGTATGATGTCCTATATAACCTCACAATATTTGAAAGCAAAACTCAAACTTCTATGCTTAGAAACAAAAATAGCAAATCTTGTTAATGGCAAAATTGAACCAACTCAAATAGTCGGGGGTAGTAAATTGAAAGTTTGAAACAAACATTAGTTTAGGGGGTTATCTGGACATAGGACAAACTTGAGGGGAGTAATTTGTACTTTTTCCTTAAATAACCGTCCAAAAGTTTATGCCATATATACATGTTCCCAGGAGCAAAGCTCAGTGTAGGGCTACATCGGCCATGGCTTCCCTGCCCTTTGTGATTCACCATTACTTTTCTGATTTGTGAGCTTGTTAGACTTGAGAAAATCACACTGCATGTTCCTAGATATCTCCATGCACAAACTGAGGATTCTTTTGCAGTATCCTATGTGTGCTTTAAATTTATTCTTCTAGTAAAGAAAGATGATATGGAATTTGTCATCTAGGATATATCATACTTTGATGATAAACTAGTAACAATTCAGGGAAAAAGGCAAACAATATTTCAACATCAAACTAAGAATACACTACATCAATAGGAAATCCATTTGTATGTTTGTTTAAATAATAAGCTGCGTATTCATCATTATCCAATTTGTTGTGATACTTATGGTTTGATTACATAGAGATCGTTATCCAATTTGTTTTTGCCGGATCGAGACGACAGTCTTAAAAACTGTACTTCTGGTTTGATTACATTGCGATTAGAATAATTACATATTTTGTCCGTCGTTAGAAAATGATTTTCCCTGAATATTTTTTAGCTTTTATTGGTAGTGGGCATAGGGTGTTCGCTTTTCTATCTCATTTCTCTCTCTTCACAAACATTGTTGCAATAGCACGAAGATGGTCTTCTTTATGTGCAAACAAATAATATGTTTTTGTGTATAAACTAAAATGAGAACGACTTTGATCTATAATGTACACAATCTTGTAGCGTGTGGTGTGGTTGTGACCAAGTTCCATGTGTCCTCTTAATCTCTTGCAGTTCCTGTTGTCAATACATCAGCAAGTTGCAGATGCTAGCCACCCCAGGCACATGGGTCATCGTCTTTGTGCAATTGAGGTTTTAATAGATGTACTTGGACACAGGGTGGTTCTTGAGAGCACTTGCTTGTGAGTGTTTTTCTTTCTATTTCCTGTTTTATTGTTTTGCCACTTGATTGTAAGATATCTGTGGGTTTGGACAATACTAATATTCATGCAATTACCTGGGCAAACAAACATGTGGATACTATTCTGACAAAAGAGTCAACAACTGCAGCACCCCCTTGCTTTACAATACTGTAGCAATTACTTGATGTTATTTCTGATAAAAGAAGCAAGGAGGTGCATGCATTGAGCATGAGCTCTGCCTAGCAATAATGTAAATTTTAAAACTACAAATATGTGTCGTCCAAACCCCTCCTTGCTTTACAATACCTAAGTATTTTGTATGACCGTGGTATGCTTGAAATGTCCAAAAACACTTTGTTTTCGAACAGGGCCTTAGGGCGCGTTTGGATTTGTTGGCAGCTTGCCTCACCTCACCTTGCTGGGCAAGGCTAACCTTGCCAGTGGAGGCGAGCCGAATTGGCTCGCTTGCTCGAGCAAGGATAAAGCTGGAAATCGCAGGTAACGAGGCAAGCTAGCTGTGCAACCAAATGCTTTTTTGCTTCTTAGTTCACGCTGAGTGAGGCAAGGCTGGTGCTCGCCTGAGATCCAAACATGCCCTTAGTGTTTTCTGAGGACAAATAGTAATCCAAACATGCCCTTGGTTTTGCATTCATTTATAACTTCTTTGTGGTGAGCCAGTGCCATCCTATGAGCTTTTTCTCGATTTATGATCTATGGATTTTTGGAATATGTGCAAAAGCACCTCCCTTTATAAGACAATGTACTCATAAGTGCAGTTGTTAATTGTTATGTTATATTGACATCATAACAACATGTTAAGAGGTTTTTGTGTGTTTATCCTCTCTTATATTAATCTGAACATTTGACATATTGTGTGTTTCTACTGCAGCTATATTATCTCTATAGTGGGGAACTATATCCAGCAAAAACCACTGCAAGGCCAGTGCTGTAATATTTTGTCTAAATTGTTGGCTGCTTTTGATGGAAACACCTCTGCTGAAACCCTGGAAGTGCTTGGCAGGCAGCTTCAGGTGGATTTTACAAACAGTAATCCGAAAAAACAATTGTTTAATGAACTTCTGTTTACTCAGCACTTCCAACTGAACTGTCACAGGTAGTAGTTCCAAAATTAGTTATTTCCTGCCTAATCAATGAGAAAGAAGAAAGAAGTGGTACTGAAGATTCATCAAGAGTTCTTTCTTTACTTCGTCAATTGACAGTGGAGGCTGATCCTCTGCTTTACGATTACATAAGAGTATGCTTCATCTTCTCTACATATAATTGCATTCTTAGTTCTTACTGGTATCTGTGTGTTATTCTTATGGGTAATTCCTGTTTGGTTTATTTTGTTTTGAATGGTCTTACAGGAGTTAGAACCACTTCCTGATCTTGATTGCTTGAAAGATGTACAGGAGTTTCATGCTTCACTTTCTGCCTCGCATTCTTCAAGAGATCAGTTCTTAAAGGTTCTTATTTTTCCAATTCCTTTCTTTCATTTTTTTACTTATGTTCATTATGAGCTGACTCATCACTTTTGACTTCCAGTTTGTTAATAAGGCTCCTTATTTGCCACCGGAACTATTTTTGTTGAGGTAATATTTCCTTGGTATAATTCCATCCATACCATCATTTGATACCACCAGTCTGTGTCTGTGAAATGTAGGGGTCTGGTTCTACATGTAGCGCGTTGTACATGTGGGGTCTGGTTCTACATGTAGCATGTTGTGTGGTATTTTCATCCATACCACCATTTCAATGCACCTTTTTTTCCTAAACACGTAAGAGAGCCGCATATCATTATATTAAGAAAGACACTGGGGTTTAGAAACCCCGTACAAAAAACACACGCCCACTCCTAGGACAACTCAAGAACAGACACGCCTGGTGATACAGAATAGACCAACCCGACCAAAAAAGTAAAGCTCCTGAGTCCACAGGGGTGAGGAGATAAGAAACACCTCAAGCCCCAGCCGAACTCCTAAGTCTCATCTCTTCTACTCTGTCATTGGTTTGAGCCCACCAATCATCAAAGGAAGTGGCATCAGGCTGGCGTTGAAAAATATTACAATCAGTTGTTCCTCTGCCCACAAAGCCTGCGTGATGTGGAATTTTAGAGGCCCAACCTTTCGGTGAGATGAGATGCCTTCCAATTGTGAGGGTGACTCACACGTTCCAGGCTACTGACCAAGAGGTTCCAATAGCCTAGCAACCGCTGAACCAACCCTTGAGATGTTATCAGCCTAGCCAAAACCAAGCTGACCTGACCACTAGGGTCTGTTCCTGCAAGAAGTGGAAGAAAACCAGCAAGAACAAGGTGCAAGCAATCTGAAATTGCAAGTATGTAGTGAAAAATTAAGATGGGGCTTTGAGTAGATGTTGGTCTGTTGGTCTAACCGACACAAGAGACAACACAAGCAGTAGTTTCCGAAGGAACTGAACTGAACTAAAACAAAACCCAACTCTTACATATGGAGGTACCCCTCCTTTTATAGCCAAAATGGCTGCTGCTACAGTGCATGCTACTACAATGTACTGGCAACAGCTAATTCTATTACTACTGTTAATATGGAGGCTGTTCCATGAATCTGGACAGCTAACAAGTAACAAACAAGTAGTTTAGCCTACTATACTCTAGCTGGCTGCAAGTGGCGACTGCCTGTGGACAGCCACAAATACAGCACAAAATATCAGCTCAAATATCTTTATCTTCAACACCAAGGTTCCTGATTAGGAGCACATTTCGATCTCTTCTTGTGTAAAATTTGTGAATTGCTGGCCTAGCTTCAGGTGGTGGAATGGATGGTGCTATAGCTGTAGGTGGTGTGGTTGTATCTGTAGAAGTGATGTCCTTATCACTGCGTATTTCATTACCTGTTGATTTCCTCCTTGTGAGATGTATTGCTGACATAATTTTATCATGAAAGACACACACACACAAAAGTAAACAGGCACACCCTTAGGTCCTATTTGGATGTTTTGAAATTTTATACACCTGTAAATGCAATACAACTGTAATTTGTTGTGCACAAGAAAACCCTTGGAATACAAATGGCATTTACAATCTTAGAAAATGCTGTTTGGGTAAAGAATGATCGGCGGAGCTAAGGATCACATCAAGGTCGACGAAGTGAGCAAATTTGGACTAGAGCGTGCTTACTTGATTGGCAGACAAGGACTGGAAATGCGAATTCGACGCCAGCGGCGCATCATCTGGCTTCTTTGATGCGTCTGGCTTCTTCTACCCTGGTGGACGAGACCGCGTTGGTGGATGTGTCGTCGGGCGAGACCGCGCTGGTGGACGTGCTCCTGAACAAGCTCCGCGGGGAGATGCTGGAGCAGCAGCACGCGGCAGCGTTCCTAACCGCGCACGCCACTGTTCCTCAACATTGTGCCGCTGCTGGAGGAGCACTCGCTGGATGTGCTGCTGCTCATCTTGTTCAACCCCGTCGATGTGCTCACTTACGTGTCGTGGAGCTGTCGGGGTTCCCGGTCAGCCGCGTCATGAGGTCCGGCACCAACCTTGACTCGTCCAGGCTTTGGTTCCTCCTCGCTGGGCACCTTGACGTCAATGCCCAGCGGTCCAGAACGCATCTACTACTCCTCGGCGCAACGCCACTACCGCGGATTCGCACGCCATCACCGGAAATTTGCTCGCCGTCTTTGTGGATCCATCCTTTGTTGTAATTGATTCGCTCCCCAGTGCCATAGATGGGATCTCCGTGTCGTCGCTGCTCGATGACAACCGATGACTCACGAGCGGAAGACTGCCCGATACCTGTCGTTTTTGTTTCCAGGCGTTGGCAGGCGATTTTTTTTTTCCGGTTGTTTTGCCCCAAATCAGGTGTAATATTAGTAGCCTCACCGGTCATCCAAACAGCAAATTCCAGTTTGAGATGAAAAAATATCCAGACTTGTAATTTACCAGGGTTTTGGACTGATTACCAGTCTTCCAAACAGGCCCTTAACATACAAGCAAAATGACCCAACTTTAACTCACATTCAGCTGCAGGGCAAGGAGGTAATTGATACCTTTGCTTTAGCCACTCAAATCTTAGTGGTAGAACAAATTCTAAATAAATGTTTGGACCCACCTTGAAACTGTACTAATCACGTGTCCTCCCAAAACCTGGTCCATAAAGCGCTTCTCACATTCTTAAATGAACCCATAAGATAGCGTTTTTTTTGTTTCCAAACAAAGTCCCCAAAATTGTGACCTCCATTTCTTCTTTTCCCATATAACACCAATGCAAAATATGTTAGCCTAGACCCTTATGATATTGTATTATTATTATTTTTATTTTCCAAACATGTTTCCTATTGTTCTAACACTTCTTTCATTTCTTATACTTTCAGTCTTCGTGCGTATCACAAAAAGTTATTATTGGGAGAAATCATCCGTAGAAGTGACCTATCTGTGGCTGATGCAGACATGGTTAGCTGCTGGCCTAGCGACCCAGATGTCATTTCTGCTGTATGGGCTCTTGTTGACCTTTGTAGCTCATCATCTATAGCAAATGAAGCCTCTTCGGTGCTTGCTGATTTTATCTCTAGGGTGTGTTTTCAGCGTTAATCCTTTCTGATGCTACAGTATGTTGGTGATGTACATTTTTTTTCATCTCAGTCAGTTGATTTCTATAATGCTAGCGCAGGCTGGTATATCTGATGCACATCAAGTAATATTCCGTCTGCCAACTCCTACCGAAAATTATCCTTTACAACTACATACTGGTTCTGCTTCCAAGGAGGATAAATTATCCAGAGACTATGGTATTTCTGATGATGTTTTGGTTGGGCTTCTGAAACTCTTGAAGACTTATTTATCTGATGAATCTGTTGAAATAATAGATGCTGCTTCACAAACACTGAGGGTATGTTATTAAATTGTGCACTCGTTAATTGCTGGGCACAGTTCTGATAGTACATATTCTAATGTTCATATTTAGCTCGTCATCAATGTTGTCACAGCATTTCTGGCCTTTATACCGAAACTCTTTTGAGATGCACCTTTTTCCTGCTTGCGCACACAAAGAAGTATCTAATCATATTTGTGATATTGATGTGCATCAAAACCCAGTCATTCTGTCATCCAAAATTAGCTTCCTAGAATGTGACATTGTAGGTACATAAATCATCTTCTGGTCAACCTATACTATGCGACTTGTGTGTAATTTTGAGTTTCTTTTTTACACTTTAAACAGTTCATTCGATGTCTCATGTCTGTAATAAATGTTTGATCTACGATTTTCTAAGCATGTGATCTTGCAAGAGTACACCAATGCTGCATTGTTTGTAGGGATATTTAATCAGATTTCAAGGCTGGGTTTTTGTGCTGCCACTGAGGCCAATGATTAATAAGATTAATTTATTCTTTCTTGTTTGAATCAAAAGGGTACATTGGACATTTGGACTACACTTACATAGACTTGATCTGTCTCAAGGACTAGTTCTTCTAACTTGACATCAACTTTAGTGATATAAAATAAATCTCAAAAAAAAACTTTAGTGATATAATTCTTTGATTTCTTCCCTAATCTACTATGCTTGAAACCTATCCTATGAAACCTGTTCATAACGTTGTGCTGTTTAAAATTCTGTGTGCCAAGATGTTGCATGCATTGTTTATCCTGCTGTATGTTGATCTGCTGCTCCCTGTTATTTCTCCTCCTTTGGTAATGCTGATTCTATTTAGGAAACCACTACAGGAGAAATAAAGTGAACCAGCAGCTGAATAATTATCATTCATCAACTTATCCTAACATCCTAGCCTTCAACCCTCAATTCTTGTTTTAATTGCAGAGATGAATTTTTTTGGATACTCACCGCTTGAAAATATAGATGAAGGGTGTCCAATTCCTCTCTGTCCTGTTATATCATTCCATTAGTGAGCCTCATGGGCCATATGGGCCTATATTAGATGGGCCTTCATATACTTAACACCCCCCTTCAAACTCAAGGTGGAAGTGGAGGATCTGAAGCGTTTAGTTTGATCAAGTGAAGCCGATGATGCTCTTTGAGTCTGTGCTTTAGTGAAAAAATCAGCTGACTGCAACTCAGAAGGCACATACTGGTGACAATGAGACTGAGTAAAGAAGGCATCCACACCAATATGTTTGGTAACCTTGGATTAGAGAGTCTGATATCATTCCATTTGTGGAAATGACTATATATAGGAGCCTCATGGGCCATATGGGTGTAGAAGTTAAGTCCTGCTCCCAGTTATCACTTAGTTATCTGTGCTTAATTATGTTTCTGCTATTAAGGCCTTGGGCAGCACAAGTGACTGTGCAAGTACCCAGGCAGTTAGCTGTTTAGTTAATGCTCTAATGAGCCATCAATGTAATCAATGTGCTACTTATCTCCTATATATGAAAGAGCAGTCACTGGGTTTGTAAGCCGGGCTGATTTTTTCTCTGTTACCTCCAACATTTGGTACCGAGCTTAGGTTAGACACCTTCTCACCTTCTCATCTTCTCCATGACGTCAACCTCCTCTCGAAAGCGCCGGGCTAGGAAGACCAAGGGAGCCACCGAGGGCGAAGTGGCGACCCCTCTGGCCGGCTGCGCGCGCAAGGCAAAGCAGAGAGGAGGCGGCGGCTGGCTATCAGGCGGCAACACAAAGCAGCTGCAGCAGGCCGAGGAGGCGGCAGCCAGAGAAAGGCAGGAGCATGGGCGGAGATAGCAGCAGAAGAAGGGAGATGAGGAGGAGGAGGAGGAGGAAGAAGAAGAGGAGGACCGGAGGAAGCCGTGCGGCGCGGACTCCGCTTGGGGGGAAAGCGCCGTTCGCGATCCACCATCTGCGTGACCAAGAAAGCGCGTGCGCGGGTGGTCGCTATGAGTCGCCGCAAGGCGTGGTGGTCTACCGCGATTCCGGCAGTGGCACATCATGGCCAATGCTGGACAAGACCAATTATTATGAGTGGAGCAGACGATGAAGCTCGGGATGCGCGCGCGACCTACAGGAATTTGTCGAAGGAGGCCAGTGCGATTTCGCGACGACAGCGAGCTCTGGAGGTGATCGTCATTCTTTGTGCCCAAGGAGTTGGGGCTCCGCTCCTAGACAAGGCGGCGGCAAAAGAGGCATGGGATGCCATCGCTGCGACTCAGATCGGTGTGGGATGTGGTCCGCCGAGCGGACGCGGTAGCCGATCGCGTCCGGAGTGGGGAGAACATTGACGTCAAGCCTGGCGAGCCGGTGGAGGATTTTGCCTGCGGTCATCAACTCGCACCGCAATTTGGTGCTTCATGGAGACAGGGACATCGATGAGGCGCGTGTTGTGGAAAAGTTTTCGCGACGGTGCCGACCAGAAGCACTGTAGAGATCGTCGTCGCCATTGAGCGGTTCCTCGACTTCGAGGCGCCACGCTTGAAGAGGTGACAGGAAGGCTCAAGGCGGTGGGCGACCGTGAAGCGCAAGTCGTGATGTGAGCCGGTGTCCATCAACGGCAAGTCTGTCTGACACACCGAGGAAGCGAAGGGCGACGCGTTGAGGAAGGAGAAGAAAGGTGCAGAAGAAGCTGGCGGTTCTAGTTTCAAGAACCAGCGCGGCGGTGGCGGAGGACCCAGCCGCGGAGGTGGACGCGGACGGGGCAGAGGTGCTGGCCGTGGCGGCAGACGTGGAGAAGGCAATGGCGCCGGCCGTGTTGGCCCCAACACGTGTCTCAACTGCCATCAGGAAGGGCATTGGGCGCGTGAATGTCCCCAGCCGCGCCGTGATGGAACAGAGCGCGGCGGCGGGGGAGGAAATCATGGTGGACGCGGCGGCGGAAACCGTGGAGGAGGCCGTGGCGGCTGTAACCAAGCTGGGCAGCAAGGAGGACATGAAGGGCGTGCCCAGTTTGCTGAGTGTGAGGAAGATGCAGCTCTGTTCCTGTCTCACGGCTTCATTGAGATGGAACAGAGCACGCCGGAGCTCAACTATACAGCGCAGCGCGTTGAGTTCTTTGAGCCACGTGCGCGTGCTTATCTGGGAACAGATGATGAAGAGATGGCTGGCGGCTGGTACCTTGATTCAGGCGCAACACACCACATGACTGGGCGGCGTGACCTGTTTTCAGACCTGAACACGGACGTTCGAGGCACGGTTCGGTTCGGGGACGCGTCCAAGGTGGAAATCAAGGGCGTTGGCTCAATTGTTTTTGAAGCAAAGACTGGTGAGCATCGTGTTCTTCATGGAGTTTATTTCATTCCGGCGTTGAAGAACTCGATCATGAGCCTCGGTCAACTTGATGAGAATGGCTCAAAGGTGGTGATTGATGATGGAGTACTGCGGATTTGGGAACGCAGCAGCGGTCGCTTACTGGCCAAGGTGAGGCGTGGCGCGAACCGGCTGTATGTACTGCATATGAAGACAGCACAGCCAGTGTGTCTTGCTGCGCGCAGGGATGAGGAAGCGTGGAAATGGCATGAGCGTTTTGGGCATCTGAATTTTGAGGCCCTGCGGAGGCTTGGCAAGGAGGAAATGGCAAGAGGGATGCCAAAGATCGATCATGTTGAGCAAGTGTGTGACACTTGTGTCACCACCAAACAGAGGAGGCGATCATTTCCTGCTGCAGCAACATATCGTGCTCAGGATCACCTTGAATTGGTGCATGGTGATCTCTGTGGGCCAGTTACACCAGCAACTTCGGCAGGTAATCGCTATATTCTGCTGCTTGTAGATGATGCCACACGATTCATGTGGGCAGTGCTGCTGTCATCTAAGGATGCTGCAGCAGATGCTATCAAGAAGGTGAAGGCTGCTGCAGAGGTGGAGAGTGGGCGTAAACTGAAAGTTCTGCGCACAGATAATGGAGGAGAGTTTACTGTTGCAGAATTTGCTGCTTATTGTGCCAATGAAGGAGTCAAAAGGCATTACAGTGCTCCTCATTCACCACAGCAGAATGGCGTGGTGGAGCGTAGAAATCAAACCGTGGTGGCCATGGCACGTGCCTTACTCAAGCAGCGCCAGATGCCAGCCAAGTTTTGGGGGGAGGCAGTGATGACTGCTGTGCATATTCTGAATCGGTCACCAACCAAGGCTCTAGGTGATATCACTCCCTATGAAGCATGGCATGGCCGAGCACCCACTGTTGGCCATCTGAAGGTGTTTGGTTGTGTGGCATATACTCGCCGTTTGTCTCAGCTCAGGAAACTTGATGATCGTGGTGAAGCTGGAGTATTTATTGGCTATGCTGAAGGAGCAAAAGCCTATCGAGTTTTTGATCCAGCATCTCAGCGTGTACGTGTCAGCCGAGATGTGGTTTTTGATGAAGGAAGAGGTTGGGATTGGACATCACCAGCAGCAGGTACGTCTGGGGCAGCTGGTAGTGATTTTGTGGTGGAATTTCCTTGGGAGGAAGAAGTCCCTGGAGCTGGAGGTTCAGTGCAGTCACACTCATCTCCTCAGCCCCATTCTGCCTCACCTGAAGCCTTCCCAGCAGCAGAATCGGTGCTTGATACAGGAGAAGAGGTGTCTGAGACATCCAGAACGCCTTCACCATCACCAGCTCCAGCCAGCCCACAAGTGGAGCACGTGACTCCCTTGGAAGATGATGAGGAACGGCTGGATACTTATCACAACGACGAGCAGCTGCGCTATCGTACCATAGATGGCATATTGGGCGGGGAACAGGAAGTTCCGCCGCCGGCGCAGCGCTTGTTCGCAGAGCTCCACCTCACCCACTCTGGGGAACCCATTTCTTATGCAGAGGCAAAAGATGATCCTGCATGGCAGGCAGCAATGAAAGAGGAGCTGCGCGCTGTTGAGCGCAATGGCACCTGGGAGCTTGTGTCTCCCCGAGCTGGCCATCGGCCAATTTCTCTAAAATGGGTCTACAAGCTGAAGAAAGATGAGAAAGGAGATGTGATCAAGCACAAGGCTCGGCTTGTTGCTCGTGGGTTTGTGCAGCAAGAGGGTGTTGATTATGAGGATGTGTTCGCTCCTGTTGCGCGCATAGAATCAGTGAGACTGCTGCTTGCTCTAGCTGCCCAGGAAGGATGGACTGTTCATCATATGGATGTCAAGTCAGCTTTTCTAAATGGAGAGCTCAAGGAAGAAGTATATGTCCAGCAGCCACCTGGGTTTGCTATTCCTGGGGAAGAAAGCAAGGTATATCGCCTGCACAAAGCTTTGTATGGGCTGAAGCAGGCACCCAGGGCGTGGAACGCTAAGTTGGACTCTACTCTGAAGGAAATGGGGTTCAAACAGAGCAAACATGAAGCAGCAATCTACAGGAAAGGTTCAGAGGGCTCAGTGTTGCTGGTTGGGGTCTATGTTGATGATCTGATCATCGCTGGAGCAGTCAAAGATGAAGTAAAGGCTTTCAAGGAAAGGATGAAATCCACCTTTGAGATGAGTGACTTGGGTTTGCTCAGTTTCTACCTTGGCATTGAAGTGCAGCAAGGCAAGAATGGGACCACCATGAGGCAGACTCACTATGCCAAGAAAATCCTAGAACTGGGAAGCATGTCTGATTGCAATCCAGCAGCTACACCAATGGAAGAGCGCCTGAAGCTCAGCAAGCATAGCACTGCCAAGGAGGTGAATCCAACTCAGTATAGGAGGCTGGTTGGGAAGCTTGAGATACCTGGTTCATACCAGGCCTGATTTGGCTTTCTCAGTGGGCTATGTGAGCAGATTCTTGGAGAAACCGACCACTGAGCACCAGCAAGCAGTCAAGAGGGTGCTGAGGTACTTGGCTGGAACATTGGACTATGGTCTGCAGTTCAAAAGAGCCCCAAATTCTGCTAGGTTTGTGGGCTACTGTGATTCAGACCTAGCCGGTGATATTGACTCCAGCAAAAGCACAACAGGTTGTCTGTTCTTCTTTGGCAACAGCTTGGTCAGCTGGCAATCTATCAAGCAGAGGGTGGTGGCTTTGTCTAGTTGTGAGGCTGAATATGTGGCTATGACTTCAGCAGCAACACAAGCCCTGTGGCTGTCAAGATTGTTGGCTGACTTGTTGGGAAGAAAGGTGGAGACTGTGGAACTGAGGGTTGACAACCAGTCTGCAATAGCACTTGCAAAGAACCCTGTCTTTCATGACAGAAGCAAGCATATCAGAATCAAACAACACTTCATCAGAGATTGTGTTGAAGAAGGCAGCATCAAGACTGAGTTTGTCGCCACAAATGATCAACTGGCAGACATTCTGACTAAGGCCTTAGGCAAGGCCAAGTTTGAAGACATGAGAAGCAAGATTGGGATCATGAAGATCAAGGATGGGGGAAGCAGGTCTTAGGGGGAGAACTGTAGAAGTTAAGTCCTGCTCCCAGTTATCACTTAGTTATCTGTGCTTAATTATGTTTCTGCTATTAAGGCCTTGGGCAGCACAAGTGACTGTGCAAGTACCCAGGCAGTTAGCTGTTTAGTTAATGCTCTAATGAGCCATCAATGTAATCAATGTGCTACTTATCTCCTATATATGAAAGAGCAGTCGCCTGGGTTTGTAAGCCCGGGCTGATTTTTCTCTGTTACCTCCAACAATGGGCCTATATTAGACGGGCCTTCATATACTTAACATGTCCTTTTGTAGACGGAGCAGAATTTTTTGAATACCCACACTTGAAAGAAAAGGGATAAGAACCCTTAACAAAGCCACACACCCATACCACTTACATTTCATATTTATTTTAAAATTTTATAAATTGCAGGAAGAATGGATTCTATTTTAGTTCTAGGAGGCATCAATACTTTGTACTGTGATTCCTATTAATATATTTTTTCCTCAAACAGGGTATTCTATCAACATCAAGGGGGCTCAATGCTCTGCAGTTTCTTGATTCTCTTGATAGGTCTTTACTCATGGTATCCATGAATCGCCGCATCTCATGTGTTTTGTTCTGATAACCACATTCATTTTTGTGATACTGTTCTCTGCTCCGAAATTAATGCACCTGCAGGTTCATTCGAGAGGTGTAAACATTCAGATAGTTGAACAGACTATATCTCAAATGGAACAGTGTGCTGGTGGTGAGCATACATTTGGTTTTCTGTATTAGTTGAACAGACTATATCGCTCCAAAATATTTTTTTTATTCATGGCACTACAGAATGTACCCTCCTTAATGGATGTTTTGAAGACCTATGCCACACATACCACAATATAATATTCAACCATATATTGAATTTGGCAGTTGTTCACAATGTCTTGTAAAGAGCAGTTTTGGCTAATTTCTATTTAAGTCAGTGTAAAATACATCCACTAAAGTTGGTTATAGATTGCATGAGAAGTTTACAATCAGAAAAAAATTTGTGATTTTTTACCTTTTTACTAATATACATAGGTGATAGAATATTTGTAATCGAGGTATTCTAAATCTGACTATTGCTACAGAGGCCAAATTTTGCAGGCTATTCGTGTGTACAGTAGAATACCGAAGAACAAGAAGTCCCCATTTGCCTAGTCATATGTGGTGCTCTATAATCTGCTGAAATTGATTCTTGATACTTTGTATTGGCATAACTTAATTTATTACATCTATAAACATTATTAGAATCATGAAAACCGAGCACTCTGCTAGGTGGACAAAATATGTGTTATCATGCCATTTACTGCAAATTAGGTTAAATGCAGTTTGTTGAACTTTGGTTCTGTAGTTTCACTTGAAGATGCAGATGTGTGGCAAACTGATGGTCGAACTTACAAGCAATGGCTGTGCACCCTAGTGAGCTCACTTATTTGTCACTGTGATGACATCATCTTGAGGTATCATTTTCAGCTTAAGAAAACGATTGTAACACTTACCAAGCTTAAATATGATAGTACTATTCAATACAACTGTAACATCTGTCACTGCTTGACATTGGTATTCTTCTTATAGACTCTGTAGGAGTCTTGTTTTTCTCAAAGTTAAGGCTGCTGAGCTTTTGCTTGCAAGTACTCTTGTGAACATTGCTGGCAATGTTGATTCTGATGCTGCCATCTGCAGATTAATTTCAACAAAGGTTTGTAGGATTCCGAAATTATTCAATACTTTACAGTTGCAATCTAGGGTTAGTCTCAGTGATTTGATTATATTCAATGTGCTGTAGGTTGAGAAAATAATTTTTTCTGACTCCAATCATTCACTGAAGTCAATCCATCTGTTTCTGGATGCACTGAATGTCATTAGATCTTTTTATGTTGCTGAAAAAGCCAGTACTTTCCCTTCTAATACTCTCAAGGTATGTTATTACTATTGTTTTCTATTGAAGTGACATGACGTGTTGCATATAGTGTTTCATGTTGAAGTAGTCGTTGAAGTGATCCATTTCTTATACCGTAACCAATTGGAAAACAGGTAGACTCATTGAATACTTAATCACTGCCCCTGTTGACCTGTATCAACTAGACTTGTTGCTTATATTACTAGCACCTTTAAGCCAAGGAGGCTTGATGGACCACTGTTACTCTTCACACGAAACTTTATCTGTCCTCAAAATGTCCTGTTCATGATTACCTGAAATGTGATAGCGTGCACTATTCAGTGACCAATTTTGAGTTTTGGTTAATTTTGGACAACCTCTATTGATTCTATTTTCTAGTGATCCTCTCTGCTAGGAAAGGGGCATATGTTTCCTTTTTTGCATTAGCCAGTATCCAGAAAGTATTGGTGATGTTATTGTCAGCTACCACTACCTTAGTCTAAATGTCTATTATATAATTTGGCCTCAACAATGTTATCCATTTGAGATACTTATTCATATGTATCTCACCTTTGACCTACCATTTGAACTATCAGGATGGTAGATCTGCTAGATCAAAAAGTCGATCACCGGCGACAACCCCATCATCATCATGGAAGAGGGTACTTGTTCTTTGTCCTTTTTCCCTAGTAATGAGCATGGCACATTTATTTGGGATATCTGAGCATGTTGCTGTCAATTGTGATATGCAATATTATATTCGTGGAAAGAATTATGTTGTCTGGCTGCTGCAAGCTTGTAGACATACTATCATCCTGTCGTGTTATTTCTTTTGGGTATTGTTCAATGTGTCTGCTTTTATTTTCATCGAACATTCAGGAAAGCTGTGTATTATTGCATTAGGAGATTCTATGTGTCTATCACATTAGTGTTCATCACCTAGAGAGAACAGTCTTATTAGACCTAGTTTTATACATTTATAAAGCTAAACCCAGCTCATGGTGGGATGTGCCACATAAATTGACGCATAACTCTGTGAATCAGAGGAAATCATGCGTGTGGGTGTGTTATGTTTGGGGTTCCTTATCCCCATGTACTCCTTTCTTAATGAAATGATACACTACACAGCTCTCATGCATATTTGAGAAATAAAAAAGAAATCATGGGTCAGAAAGAAAGGGAGATAAAATGACACGCCACACGTGTTGGCAATGAAGAGGTAGGATGCAGTACACATGCATGCAGGAATTTTAGAGTTGTTAAGGCTGCTCTTGCATTGCATTCTTGCGCACACCACACACACAGTTGTATACCTGCCTAGGTATGGTGTATGTCACCTCCTACTGTAGCTATATCATCTACCAACTACTCCGCACTCCACTATTCCTTACTGCATACTATTGCTGACCATTGCTTGTAAAACAAAAGCGCAAGGTGCTATCCTTCCTATATGACAGCAGCAGCCACTACTAGTACCCATGAAAAATGATTGAATACAGGGATTACTTGTCTATCAACACAGTGATTAGGGTCTAAGCCTCCAGATGCTTAAGATGAAATCTCATCAGATTAATTTATGATCGCTCCTGGGTGTGACAACATAGGAGTAGCTATTTGCTATAAATGTGTTTGATGTTTCTTGTTTTAACAGTACATCACTTTATTGCAGTCCTACTCATATATGCATCAGTGCATGTACTGTATTCCTGTGTTAGTGGACAGATGTGAACTTCTCTTTATACCTCAGAAATTCTGGGGTACTGTGTCTTGATATTAGATAAGGAGAATTTCTGCATCCAATGTCTCTTTTTTTAACATGTTTATTCTCTAGGTATACTGGCTTTCTGTTGATTATCTTGTTGCTGCCAGAGCTGCTAGTGTAAGTGTGCCACCTTTTCTGCTGTTATGTATTATTTTTATCTGCGTGCTCATTATGCTGTTTGTTTCTTTTGATTATATGCCGTCCTCTATATAGATTATAGTTCTCCAGATGTCTATTTAGCTTTCATTCAATTTGTTTCTGAAACCAGGGTCCAAGGTAATTTCCTATTCGATTTATAATCTTATGCCTTGATTAATGGAACCAGAATGCTGTTTGTATGAATCCTGGGACTCTCTCTCTTGAGTGTTTATCACAAACACACACTAGCTTTTCTCTGATAGACATTCACACAAGTAGTTTTTGTTCCATGTGGCCACTCTAGCCCTCATCGTTTTCTCATCACATATATATAGCTGATACAGGGCTATACAATTGCCAATGATATCCTCCTAATCGATCCTCATTCTTCTCTTTAACTACAAGCTCTTTTATGTTACTCTTGTTTTCTCCCCTTAATATAATGATGTGAAGCTCTCCTGCGCGTTTGGAAAAAAGATATTGCATGTGAAGCTTCTTGCTTTCGTGACGATTTTTATGTGAAGCTCATCATCTGTGGTCTGCAAGGCTGCAGCCTTCAGCAATAGCAAAATGCTTGCCCTTTAATCTTTTACACATAAAATATTTTATTGACTCCCATCTAAATAGACATATCTGTTTCTTCACAGCGATGCTCATGTGACTTTGCCGTACTAATGTATGTTGAGCTTTGGTGTGAGGAACAATTCAATAGGCTGGCATTAGGACCTCCAGAGTTTTCCCACGAAGAGTCGGTCTGCACTCTTTTCATTTCTTCAATTTTTTTTCTTTAGATTTGTTTATGTGTTTAATTTAGCTCTGTTATATGCTAATATTGTTTATTTCTATTTCTCACGTTTTTCAGTTGCCACCACATGTTGGTCTGTTGGTTGCTGCATTTACTCGCATAAATGAACCGGACAGCATTTATGGGCTCACACTTGCCAATGAGGTTATCTTAAATCCTTTTCCTTTATGTGAAGATTCATATTTTATGAGTTCTAGTCATGCTTAAGATGGATATGAACATTTTTTTCCATCTCCCATTTTCTGTTATAATCCTTTATTCATCTCCACAAGATATTTCAACCTGCAAAGCTCAGGCTATGCTAGGTATTTTTTAGGTACTTTATTTGTGATTTTCATCAGATATATGTTACTACCTATAAGTTATGTACCTAAGATTTGCTTATTATTGTTCTTTTGAAACAGATAGCATCTCAGCTTATTAGATATGAGCATGAAGGTGATTGGAGTAGAGCACTTGAATACTACGATTTACTCGTAAGGTCAACGCCAAAGGAGCACCTTGGCAATTTAACTGGGTCGGTGTTGACTGGACCGTCAACCGTGTCTTCTAGAGCAGAAGATACAACGTTGAACTGGAAAATGCACAAAGGTCTTATGAGATCCTTGCAGAAAACTGGATGTAGTCATGTGCTTGATGTCTACTGTGAAGGTTTAACTCACCAAAAAGGGTGTCTTCAACAAGACGCAGAGTTTATTGATATCCAAGTTAGTATTGCATCTTTCATATGACAGTTGCACTGTTGCTAAACTTCTCCCGTAATTTGTTCCATGTTTTATCGCCTATCTTGCAGTATGAGGCCGCTTGGAGGGCAGGAAATTGGGATTTCTCCTTTTTCATTCCATATTCTTCTTGGTCTTCAACCCGCACTCGAAGTTACTGTCTTTTCAATGAAAATTTACACAGGTTCATAATATCCGTTTACTCATATTGATCAATGTTCTTTACACTTTTGGGCAGAACTTTCTTTGTTTAGTGAACTATCCATCAACTCTTACTCCCTCCATTCCAAATTGTAAGTCGTTTTGGCTTTTTGAGTCTCACAGCTTTTGCTACACACCTAGATATATATTATGTCTAGATACATATAATAAAAGCTATGTATGTAGTAAAGCCAGAATGACTTATAATTTGTAACGGAGGGAGTATGTAAGATAGAAAATTCAGTACACTTTCGAGCACAAAGCAAAGCATTTATATACTTAGCATTATATTGAATATAATGTTAGGGTATAGTCAATACTTACCGCACAAGCCCAAGGATCTTATATAGAAAAAAATTAACTTATTAAACCTTGCCCAACAGTACATATAAAGTTACATAGATTCACAGCACATAGTTGATGTTTCATCATGGAAAAATACTTTCATAGTATATGACTCTATTAAAACAATATTAAAATGCACGAGTAGTGTGCCAAGTTATGACACCACCAGCCAGGGTTGAACCCTGGGTCTCACAAAACAGGGGGCCTCACCAAGTTATATCACTTCAGGATGTTCCTGGACAGTCCGGCCTTCACTCCCTTTTGTTGACCATATGGTTGAGGGCTGTCTTTGATGCAATCCTTGGAGGTCTTTCCCCCAAGGGGTCAATTTTTGTTTAGAACAATACTCTTTTGCAACAATTGCCAAGTCAAAGTGTCATATTGCGTATGGGACTAAGTTGTCCTAAATGACTTACATTGGGAATCAAAGGGAGTAGCATCATTTAATGAAATCCCATTCAAACTCCTCCAGGGTGCTCTGTCACACTCAATTTTAAGGATAAAATGGGATGCATAATCTTATGTATGCCCAGAGATCAATCACACACATAAGTCGACAAATTATAAAAAGTATCATCACAAATGTTTATTACATTACGAATATTATCACATAGTCTTCACATAAATATAGCAGAAATATAAAGATAACTCTTTCACGGAAGCTCCATAGCACAGGGACGTCAACTAGTAGATCACAAGACTAGTAATCCTCAGGGAAGTCGTCATTACCTTAGCAATCTGTTACCCATTCGGGATTTTTATCCAAATAATGAAAATAAACAAACGTAAGTATATCTCGTACTCAACAAGTGTAACATGGGGTTCATGACGCTCAAAAGGCTGCCTTACCCTCGCTTGTGCAATGCGAGGAGACCGCGACTCGAACCCGAGACCTTCCGATCACAGGCGGTAAGACTCTACCGTTTGCACCAGGCCCGCCCTTCAAACAAATAATTAATAGTGATCATCTATTCCATAAGGATTCCAAGGTCGCTCGTGACCGTGAGCACGGCTGATATACCAGTTTTACACTCTTCAGAGGTTGTACATTTTCACTGTGAGTCGTGTTTTCCATTTGCCTGGGGTTTGCAAGTCCCCAAAACACTACCAAGGTGAGCAGGCATGGTACACTATGAAGCCTTTCAAAGGTTCGTCTAACAAGTTAGGGCCGCTGCCCTACAAATGTAGGGCTCCCCTTCCTGATGGCACATTCCGCGCAGGCTATACTATCAAGGACAGAGGCCGCACTTCACCCAACCCGAAACACATCCCATTTGCGCCTTTCGGTAACCTCTAATAAGCTAGAAAAAGTCCTTGTACTGAGCTAAAGCCAGAGCCATGTGACCCTCATAGTTGTACTGTAAGTCCCGAATGATCACTTACAAATAAGTCCTTAGGGAGAGGAATCTAGAGCACCGTAAAACCCAATGCTCCAGCCCTCTTAAGCCAAGTTGCTAAAAAGCATATTTTAACGTTTATTGCATATACCATTAGTCAAGTTACAAGATCATGATTTCGTGAGCACTAGCATTAGCTACCCAATGCAATATCCCATAGGAGTCAAGGCATAAGTACAATTCTAGGAAATCCTTATCAAGGTGACACATGCATACATGAATTAAATGTATTAAGGTTAATAGGAAACAAGGATAGTCCCATGATATACTTGCCTTGATCAAAGGGCTCCTGCTGATCCTGCTCGTCAAAGTAGTACTCTTGATCACCCACGAATTGCTCACCGTCTATACTCGATCAACACAGCAACATACAAGCATCCGGAAGCAATCATGCATAGCAAACAAAGGCTATAATTAGAACAGTACATCAACAGTATTGAATCAAGATGAAAAGCTTGTAAAACGAATCTACGTCTCGCTATGAACACACAGACGCGAAGATCACAAAAATCGGAGCTATAACGAAGAAATTATGAATTAAACAAGATTTCTTTTAATAAAATAATAGATTAAAACTAATCTTGAATTTCAAAAGTTGAAAACATGTTTAACAGTAGCTTGAACATGTAGACTACACAATTACGAATCTAACGCAACTTGAACGGATCAAAACGGAGTTAAAACAAAGTTTTTATAAGGAAAACAAAATGAGTGGCAAATCTGTAAATAAATAAAACGTATTTTGAATCTAACAGAGGGAAACTACGCTTTTAGAAAGAGAAAACGTATTATGAGAATACGCCTTAGACCGCGGGTTCATATCTGGAAAAGTGGAGGACTCTAGCAAAATTGCCTGACGAAGGGGTATGGTGTGATCTGAGCGGTTGGATTTGATTTGGACGGATCAGATTAGATCGGGGAGGAGAGAGAGCAACCGGCCGGAGAAGAAAGCCGGCATGGCGGAGCTCCATTACCGGCGACGAGCAAGCTCGCCGGCGCACAAAGATAACGGCCTACAGGCCACGGTTTGGCTCGGGGAAAGCACAGAAAGAAAGAGGGGAAGACGACGAACTCACCTAGGGCTTTTTCGAGGTCAAAGGTGGGACTGCAGCGGCGTGCGGCTCTGTGAGGCGGACGACGAAGCTCCTGTGAATATCGACGGCACCGAGTGAGCAAACCGGAGCGAGAAAAAGAGAAAGAAAGGGCCCGGTGACTTCGCAAACTCGACGCGAAGCTCGGCAAATAGCTTACGGAGGCAACGAGGCGGCGGAACGGCGAAGGTCGAGCTCGGCGCGGTGCTTAGGGTTGCGGCGACTCTTGCGGGCTCGATTGGAGGCGGCAGCTGACGCTAGGTTGGGATAGGGAGGCGGCGGTCGCAGGGGCTGCTATTTATGAGGGGCCTCGGCGTGGGGCGCACACCAAATCTGTTAGTCGCTGAATTCTTACTCTTGATAGTAGCAGAATTCTTACTCTCATCGAAAGAGGATGACACTAGGGTTGTTAGTCGCTGAATTCTTACTCTTGGTAGTAACAGAATTCTTACTCTCATCGAGAGAGGATGACACTAAGAGTTGGGGCAATTTTCTGGTTTATTTCTCACACAAATGCCATGCCAACCTGAGGGGTTGGGGATACATATTTATAGGCTGCTAGCCAGCCAAGCATATGTCAAGATGCTAGTCCTAGATGTTAAGATGTTGTCCTAGATGCTAGTCCTAGATGCTAAGATGTTGTCCTAGCCAGTCAAGGATACTGTCCTTGATGGGCAGCAAGACCACCATGCTGCCACAAGGACCATATGCTGCAGCCCTACAAAGACCAGCCAACACAGAGACTTATCCATTATTCTCCCCCTAAATCTTGTGCGCTGTCTTGTGGGAAAGTTGAACCATCCCGGTCCTGGAGCAGAGCTCAAGGAACTTGATCCTCCCAAGAGGCTTGGTAAGCAGATCCGCAAGCTGGTCCTTGGTGTTGATGTAGCTCGCCTTGATGCTCCCTTCCTCCAAACAGCCTCGGATGAAGTGGTACCTCACCCGGATGTGCTTACTCTGTTCATGGAAAACGGGGTTCTTTGCCAGGGCCAGAGCGGACTTGCTGTCCATCCTGAGCTCCACCGCTCTAGTGTCTCTGCCGAGGAGATCACCAAGAAGTCGAGCGAGCCAGAGCGCTTGAGTCGAAGCGGTGGAGGCCGCTATGTATTCGGCCTCGCAGCTGGACAGGGCCACCACTTGCTGCTTGACCGACTGCCAGCTAACGAGGCACTTGCTGAGGAGGAAGAGGATCCCGCTCGTGCTCTTGCTGGTGTCGATGTCGCCAGCGTGGTCGCTGTCGTTGTACCCGACGAAGTGCGCCGCCCCATGGCACCTAGGGTAGTAGAGGCCGTGGTCGAGAGTCCCTGCAACGTAGCGGATGATACTCTTCACAGCCTGCTGGTGCTTCGTCGTCGGTCGCTGCATGAACCAACTAACGTAGCCGACGGAGAATGCCAAGTCCGGCCGTGTGTGGGCGAGGTAGCGAAGGCTCCCCACAAGACGCCGGTACTGCGTAGCGTTCACCTCCTCCGTCGTGCTGTCGCGGCTCAGCTTCAGCCTCTCCTCCATTGGAGTGAGAGCTGGGTTGCAGTCGGTGAGCCCAGCTAGCTCAACGACGCGCTTGGCGTAGGCGGTCTGTCGAAGCGTGATTCCGGAGTCATCCTGGTGCACCTCGATTCCCAGGTAGAAGGAGAGAGGCCCCAGGTCACTCATCTGAAAGGTGGCCTTCATCTCTTCCTTGAATGCCGCCACCTCCGCATCCTTGGTGCCGGTGATCACCAAGTCGTCGACGTAGACACCCACCAGCAGAGCATTTCCTCCACTGCCCCGTCGGTGGATGGCTGCCTTGTGCGGGCTTTGCTCGAAGCCCATCCCCTTTAGCGTGGAATCCAACTTGGCATTCCACGCCCTCGGTGCCTGCCGCAAGCCATAGAGGGCCTTGCGCTGGCGGAGCACCTTGCCCTCCTTGCCGCGGAATCCAACTCTTCTCAACCGCATCCATCTCCAACTGCATCGCAGCGCGCCATGTCGCGTGTCTCTCGGCCTCTGCAAACGACCGTGGCTCGCCGTCGTCACACGCAAGGTGCAACTGCGCCTCCAGGTCGTGAGGCACCAGTCCCGGCACCGGCTGGTCGCCGAGAAGGTTCTCCATCGTACGGTACCGCAACGGCTCGCCGTCATGGTACGCGTCGATGCGCTCCTCGTCGTGA